CGCAAGCGCTAACAGATGTAACATTGAGATCATTAGTGACGGCCTAGTTTGGTTACCTGGGCTACCCTTGCATGAACAGTCTTCCATTCTGAGAAGCAATCATCGGATACCGTAAAATTCCGAAAATAAGCCTCTCCAAATATAAGCGCCCCAATCCGGTAACACAAAAAACCCTCCGTTAAATCGCTCCTCCAAATATAAGCCCCTGGGGGCTTGTACTTGGAAAATTGCCCTCAAATACAAAGTAAGACAAAGCAAAAACGGTAAATTTACTTCCAACTATAAGGCTAGCCCAATCGATTTTGAAACACAAATTTCCCTCCGTAGATAAGCCCCTCCGAATATAAGCCCCTCCAAAAATAAGCCCCTCAAAAAGGGCCATTAAAAAATATAAGCCCCGGGGCTTATTTTCGGAATTTTACCGTAGCTTAATAACCCGTTGACGTCCTTTTAATTAGACAGCTGTAATACAACTCAAGATGGAATTATCAATTTTAGACAAGGATAGTTAAAAGAGCGACGGTTCCTGGTCAAAGGATCAGATAAGTTTGGTTCCGTCAGTGGCTTGGGTTAAGTTGTGAATCATGTTAGCCAGCCTGTACGTCGTAAAAGACAAAGGACTTCATCCAAAGTGATCTGCACCCAAAAGAACGTTTGAGCGGCAAATTTAAATTGTTCGTTTTGTTCCGCAATCTTCAATAAGGTAGGGGTGAGGGAAATCGCCCTATCGACCCTTGATCTTTCACAATGTCCTAGATGCTCTTCATTATGGTTAATGAGTGACATCAGCCTTTATAGGTACACACTTCCAGATTCCAACCATAGATTTGTTTGCTATTGCACTATTTAAAAAATTGCACGCTGCACGATAGCAAAGTCACTTGGAACTCTGTTAGGGATATCACTAGGACTGCCAGCATTAGAGGTGGACAGGGAACGCGTCACAAAGAACGCATGCCCGGGAGGCTTGTGATTACCCCGCTAGGGGTTTGTTTCATAGGTCTGTAGATGTCTTTCCATTACACATAATAGAGACATTCTTAGCACCGCTCCTTGGGATCTTTGTCTCTAACTCGTCTACCTTCTCAGGAATATAAGACGATTTGCACCGTTTTCGTACTCTACTTACTGTGTGTCGGTAGAAATTAGAGGTTAATCTGTGGTGATACGCTTTTGACGCTTGGGCTTGGAGACATCCAGGGAGCGTCATTACGATGAATAGGAGTCGGTTGGAAGATAAGAATCCAGCCCAATGTGAACAAGACGCACGAGTGCGTGAACCCGGCCTTCTTTTAGTTCATACAATGATAGAGCGTCAGGGGGAAATGTGCATTACATATACTAATGCACTACAGCCCATATGAACTTTGATGATGAATTGATGATAAATAAATGGAAAGAAGAATGCTACCTGCTAGCAAATCAGACTCGAAAGACTCGAACGTTGCAAAGGGGTGTACTTTCAAGATCATGACTGCATAACCATGTTATGCTTGAAAGTAGTGTTGCAGCTAGTTTTCTTTTTCTTTAAATTAGCATGAGCTTCAGTCACAATCTTAGGTAGTAAACTAATATTTTGAGGGGAAAAAACACCCTAAATGAAGAGCAAGAGAACATAATGGTTGGAGTAATTATGCCAGGATTTTATATTTGTTTTGGTTTCCGAAGTGATTATTGTACATGCTGAATTGCCACAGAGGAGTGAAAAACCCAGATCTTCCCACGAGTAAGATCTTTATTCATTTTATTGTCACTCTGATACAGGTACTTAAAAGACAAACTACCGGCATCTTCTTTCAGTTAATTCATCATCAGAAAACTTCGAAAAGTGTTACTGCACTTATCGTTTGATTTGGGATCAAAAAAAGTGAATGAATAGAGGATGTGTCAATATTTCATTGCCTTGTTATTGATTCAACAACAAACAAAGAAGTAACCACAGAAAGCCCAAACCTATACTGTGTACCTCGTTGAGGATAATCCCGAAACCAATTTAAATGCAGAATATTATAATCGATTTGTCGATCCTTTTAATTGCAAGTTTGAATGTATAGCTGAACACAGTAAAGGGAAAAATTTCTAGCATAGATAATTTTGAAATTTCAAAATGTTGAATCGATCAAAATGGAGTTTTGCAAGATCGAAATTCGATAGTAAGCAATCGTCCATTTTTTTACAGAGCTATAAGCTTACATGCAATCTTTGATTTAATTTAACAATGAGATGTTGTTTGATCGATCAAAATCATGTCGAATTTTAGCATGAAACAACTCTACGTGCTTTGCAAACCTGCCGCTTCCGTGCGAGCTTGATACAAATTAATCCATACATAGCAAAAAAAGTCAAAGAGTATTTCTTTCCGTTGATATAGTAAGTTTCCGTTTTTATACCGAGACAGCTGGGAAGCACGAGACTTGGACCGAGCACAAACTTTGCGATGAACAGTCAGATTTGTTTGTTTTGATCAATGAAAATTAAACGGTAATTAACTGCCACTTCCTGCAACTAGGTGCAAACCATGCTATATGACTAAAAAATATTAAAGCAATTTCTCTGCTTTTAAATTTTCTTATGTATCTTACTGTTTTGCGATAAAAGCTATAAAGCATAAAATTTCTAAGGTGTTTACAGTGACAAGTGTGGACGTATTTATACAATTCGAACAGTCATGATGTACAATTTAGCACAAAAACGGTCCATACGTTTTACGAAACTGCTTCTTCCTTACTCCTCGGTACACGCTTACTCGCCAGAACAAAGCCCAATAGTATTCTTCAACTGCTATATAAATTCTCGAGACTTGCGCTTAACATAAAAAGTGAAAATTACCCACCTTTTTAGTATGTCTTCTTCTCACAACCAGCGATCGCAACGCCGATCTCGATTAAACGGATCGAGCCACTGTGTTTGTCTGACAGTTCCAGGATGCATTATCCTCTAGACAACACATATCACTAAACATTTCGACCAAAATAATTGTCGATCTCTCATGGAGGCAACAAAACCACAACCTTAACACTACCGACTGACAAAAAACTGCCCTTTGTACAACATGTCAAGGGGATTTTGCCTCTAAGCCAATGAGTTTGCCGAAAATCGATCACGTGATATTTTACTAGTAGAGGCATGCGCTTTAAAGTGCAGGTCGGATTCGACGACGACGGAAAAAAACCCGGGCCAGAACTATACCCGTCTCTTCCTGAAAGGAAGGCCGGGTAATTACTGAATTATTATCCACGTATTGGTTCTGGATGCACTGTCCATGGTATCAACGGTATCAACAAGTGACCAGTCAAGGTCTATCATTCAATTGAGTCAGTTTGCAATCGAACGTTTAGACTAAACACTGGTCGACCTCTTGCGCAAATATTCTCCAAATAGCAGATGTCGCCCTCCGAGTTGTCTTCTTGCTGTTTTTGTTATGTTTTTAGCTATTATTTCGCCTAGTTCCAGCTGTAGTTCTTACTCTTGAAACGAGTGAAGTGTCCGCTATTTTTGTTTTCACAACCAAAACAACTCAACCTCGTCCCCAGGTCTTCTCGGTAACGGTGCCTTAACCTGTAGCGGGCTGCATTTTTGACGTCATTTCCTCGTTAAACACAAAATTCTTCCAAATTTGGTCATCAGTAACTGGTTATGGTGAATTATGCGTGTGCTTTTAGCCAATCAGATTTGAATGATTAATAATATGACACTTAGTTTTGATTAGAAAAAATTCATTTCATTAAACAAAAATTATTCAAGTTGAGAACATTTCATTTCAATTAAAACAATTCATTTCGACTAAAAAAACGAAGAAACTATTTTCAAGGTCAATTGCATTCTTACTAACTGGTTATCACAAATGAGAAACTCAAGTCATGCTCTTTTGCCGTAGTTGATGGCGGATGGTCGTCGTGGGTAGACGTCTCTGGGTGTACAGTGACATGTGGCGGAGGAAATCAGACACGTCTCCGTACTTGCAGTAACCCACCTCCTAACCATGGAGGTCAACCGTGCCCAGGACCCAATCGTGACGTTCAGCCTTGTAATGTACAAGCATGTCCAGGTGGGTGGCATATTTGCGCATGTGCGTGTACTGACAGGACGTGTCTTTTTACGCTCCCAGTATAATGTAATAGACACTTCTCCATCCTACCTGCATCGATTAGCTCCGCTATTTTGCAGGTAGTCTGTATTTGTAATTTATTTATTGTGAAGGTAAACAAATAAAGCTTCCTTTTCTATCACATTTATCAAACTCGATTCAAGCTTAGGGCGGCTAAGTTGAGAGGGGAAGGAAGAGAATGGAAAAAAAAAAAAAACAGAACAAAACAAAAAACGAACAGCAATATCTTGAAACAGCAGGTTCCCTTGCTTTACGTCCAAATTTTATCGTGTTGTTCTAATTGCACAGCGTCGTTCTACTGTTTCTGCCTTCTTAGTATCTGAAAGCCTGGAACAAGCTTAACTATGATAAAATCCTTAATCGAAAAATCTAGTTATTGGCCATTATTAAGTCAGTCATAAAACATTTGATCAAAACCAGGATCAAAAGCAATTAGCACAACAGAAACATTAACTCGAGAAGATGTTCGCAGGCTTTACCTGACTTGATACAAAGAGTCACAAATTCACATAAGCAGTGAGTTTAAAACTATTGAAAAAGCCAGACATGGGATAGGAAATTGGACTGGATTTGGAGTTTGTTTAGCGGAGAGGAGAAAACAGAGTAGCACTAGCAAAAACTTCTCGAATGAAGACAAGAGATACCAGTAGCAAGCTTGACCCACACATGGCATCATTTGCGGGATTCAAGCCCAAGCCACATTGATGAGATGCCAGTGCTTTTAACACTGCGCAGCCCGTTCTCCCTGACATGTTTCTTGATTAAATTCCTTGTGACAGTTGACGGGAAATGGTCTACTTGGGGATCGTGGACAAGCTGCCCTGTTAGTTGCGGAGGAGGATCCCAGACTCGCCACCGCACCTGTACCGATCCACCCCCATCGAATAATGGCATGACGTGCGAGGGTGATACCTCTGAGACCCAACCATGCAATATCCAGCAATGCCCAGGTAACGAAGAATTCACCGTAAACAAAGAATTCAACAAGAAATCATTGTAAACAAACTCAGAGAGTTTTGAAAGTGGTAATAAGGATAAGCTCCTTGGGAATTCCTTTTTTGTTTTGCCTGCTGTGGTGGTTTTCTTGACATTCTTGATTTGTTGAACACACGCTTATACAGTCAACACTCTCTCAAAGAAGACCTTTTCTGGAGATTCCCTGCCCACATTTCTGCGGGTAGTTCCACCGATACTCTACCAACGGACACCCTTCTAAAACTTGCGTTGACAGCATATCATGGCATTGCAGTGACAGCTTATCATATACTGGAGTGTAGTGAGAGCGTATCATTTGGGCTTCGTTTTGCCCCTTTGGATCTCTCAACTATCTAAGGCCGGATAGAAGAAAACCCTAGATATTGTCATACCAGACCTCTTTTTAGTCGTTCTTATTCTTTTCCTTATCTCTTTTTCCCCCTTTCTTCCTTTCTTTCTTTCTTTTTTTTTTTTTTGTATGTTGAAGTTGATGGAAACTGGTCGGCATGGTCAACTTGGACCGCTTGCAGCAAATCATGTGATGGTCAGAGAAGCAGATCTCGTGAATGCAACAACCCAAAACCAGCTCACGGTGGGGCGACTTGTGTAGGAGACACTACACATAATGAGGCCTGCAATGTAGGGGTTTGTCCGGGTAAGTAGGTGTGGACTATAAAGCCTAAGGCTTTTAAACAAACGTAAGACTTTCCGCGTAGAAAATAAAGAAAACTGTCAGACACATAACACAGAGCCTGTAGTTTAATGATAACAATAATAAATTAAAGTTGTAATGAGCCCTAAAAGTTATTTCATTTTTCTATTCTTTGAATGATGTGCTCGAAACGTAAGTTATTATTCTTATACATATGTAAGAGAGAGGCTTTTAGACAATAAATATTGAAGGGGAATTTCATGAAAAAAAAATAGCAAATTGTCTGTAGCGCAGAGGGCACTTTTAACGTTCTGTGCTCTCTCCTTCTTTCAAGATCCAGTCGATGGAAAGTGGTCGTCGTGGGGGTCATGGTCATCTTGCAGCGCGCCGTGTAGCCCTGGCGGAACTCGGTCTCGATCACGCACCTGCACAAATCCAGCCCCTTCGCACGGTGGTCAAAACTGTAAAGGACAATCACATATGACAGAGCAGTGCAATACCCAAGCTTGTCCAGGTTATAATATGCCCCCTTTATTCTTTAGGCACGACAGCTTCTTGTGTGAAAACAGCAAGTTTGTGCAGGACTGACATCCTTATAAGCTTTTGATCAAAGCTAGAAAGTGGACACACAACGTAGTTTATGACGACTATGGACATTTCCATCTCGCTGAAACCTTTAATGCACCTCTAGATGGTCATTCCAGGGATTAATATTTCATGTTATATTACATGTTGCTTTACTACGTCAAAGGGGCTGTGTCACGGCTAGTCTCCTTCGCAGCCGTTTTCAGGGGGGTCCGTGACTAGCCTAAAAACGGCTGCGAAGGAGACTATGTCGCGGCTGTCTAGTTCAGTTTTGTCTTGTATTGTCAATAGAATACTAAAGTGTGACGTCATAAAAATGAAATTTCTGAAATTATGGGATTTGTCAGGATATTCTGGGTCGACCCCCAAAAAAATTAGAAGGGTTTGTACAAAGTTTTCTAAGCATAACTGGGCTACGATCTCAGAGACAATTTGCCCCGAAATGCTCATTTTTGGCAAGTAGGCCTCTTGGACATTGTTCTTTCAGAATGTCCTGACAAATTCCATAATTTCAGAAATTTCATTTTTATGATGTCATCACTGTAGTGCTCTTTAGAGAGGAGAAATCGTTACGTCATGTTGCCATGGTAGCAAAATTTCTGGATGACATCAAACCGAAAACGTCACGTGAATTTACACTGTTTCAGACTCCTTCGATCTTATTCAATTTCAATCAATTTGTCGAATGTTGGCAAAATTTTCTGAGGTTAAATCCGAAAGTACCGTATTTAAGTTTAGAAAAAGGAAAAAAAGAAAATTTTTGTGTTGTGTTCACCTACTTTATAAACCGGGCTCATTAAATTAGTTTCACTTCGTAGTCGTGCAACGACGGCTAAGAAATGTACAAAAAAACGTGATGCACGTGCAAAGTTGTTGTTTTGTTATCTAAACTTATTGTTTTGTTGCCGTTCTCGTTGCTTAAGTTTCCTGTTGTTGTGATCCAAAAATTTTGCTACCATGGTAACGTAACGTCAGACTTCTCTCTATTACACGTCCTTATTCGCAATGGAACTTAATTTTAGCAGAGAAATTACTGGCAAATGTCGAAAATACAGCTTTATGATAAACAGTTATGTCTCCCTTCTTGAAGAAATTCATCAGGCTACCTGTCGTTTCAATCGCATCATCCACTTCAGCACAAACTTGCTGTCATACGGACGTTATTGGAAAGGAGTGACAGCATTGTCACGGAAGAAGAAGACCGTAAACAAGAGGAAGAAGAACACACAAGAACAGCCCTCCATACATGTGGTTACCCTGATTTGGCGATAAAGAAGATCAAAGAGCAAATGAACAGGAAGAAAGCTATTAGAAAAGATAAATCCAAGATAGATAAAGCACAAGAAAAGTCAAGAGGAGTGGTGACTGCCCCATATGTCCACTCATTCACGGAGAAAATACAACGTATATTCACTAAACACGGGGTAGCCACAGTGGTTAAACCTCAAACCACCCTCAGACAGGTTTTAGTTCACCCGAAGGACAAAGTTGATGAGCGAAAAAAGGCTGGAGTGGTGTACAAAATTCCATGCAACCAATGCGAAAAGGTATACATCGGTGAAACAGGGAGACAGCTGGGAACCAGGGTCACAGAACACAGAAAGGAAGCAGAAAAGATCTCTGACAGAAATTTCACAAGATCCACGCGCAGAGCTTCTACCAATGCGCACCCTAAATCAGCTATAACAGACCACGTCTGTCAGAACAATCATATTATGAATTGGGAAGCAAGTGAAATAGTTGAGCAGGAAAGCGACAAGTTTAAGGGATGGATCAAGGAAAGCATATGTATAAGATCGAACAGTCCTATTATGAACATGGACAAGTGATCTTTAGCTCCACACCAGAGTGACTCGTTTATCGCAATAGTTAAAACCTCCAGAAGCCTATTTAAGGCTTCTGACACCTTTGACGATTTCCAAGTTCTAATAAAGATGGCTGACAGTCATCGAAACTGTCAGCATAATTAACTTTGAAACAAAGTCAGCATAATTAACTTTGAAAAACTGTTAGCTAAACAGGTTTTGAAAAACCACAATTGCAATCCGTTTTAATCTTCTTCAAGTTCGTCCGTCCTCGCCTTCGTTTGTATTTGCTGGGCTATTCATGCCTTCTTTTAATGTTTGGAGCGGTTGTTTTCAAGTTTCTCTCAATTTGAGGGCAGTTTCCACCGTTTGAATTTCGATAAATTTCGTGACACAGCTTTTTTTGAGGCCTTTGTGTCGTGGTAATATTTGAAAATGTACCTTTTGTTTTTTTTTCCATTTAGTTGATGGTGGATACACGGATTGGACCCCTTGGACATCATGCGGCAAGTCCTGCGAGGGAGGCACACGGGTCAGAAATCGCTTTTGCACTAATCCACCACCCTCCAATAATGGGCAACCCTGTTCAGGAGCAAGCTACCAAAAAGAAAATTGTAACACCCAACCGTGCCCAGGTGAGTCACCATGCTTTAAAGGGTTTTTCAATTTTGGTAGTGCGCTTCTTTCGGTCAAAACATCGATGCCTAGTCAGCGGTCAGCCACCAGCGCCTCGTCAGCTAATCAATGACTTAATAATCTCAACAACCAAGATTGAATTTTTTCACAGTAAATAAATGAATAGCACTTCTTTTAAAGACAAATGATGCGAATTTTAGAAAAGACAAGGAAAGGAAAACCGCTTTCAAAGGGCACTAGTCGCGATTCATCCCCATTTGTGTAATACGCTTCCGAAACGCTTCGTCTTATATTAGTTGAGCATTCATATACTCTCAAAAAGTGGTAGCAGCTTCAAATTCCTTGTCATGAAGTTCTAGTGAAAAGAACGTAAGAACAAAATGGTATATGACATAATTATGTGATGCATCTTTTCGTTCCCTCCAGTTGATGGTGGCTGGTCATCCTGGACAAATTGGTCTCCCTGTTCTCGCACTTGTGGAGGCGGTTCACAATACAGAAGCCGTCGTTGTGACAGCCCCAATCCGCAGCACAACGGTCAACCTTGTACTGGGGATGGCATGGAAACCCGACAGTGTAATAATACGAAATGCCCAGGTGGGAGAATCAACCAGTGCAGTTTATTAGTGGGGTACCCTAGGCGTCCTTACAGAGGGGATGGTGAGAAAGATAGAAAGAAAAAAAAAATCTAAAACAAGGCATCCCGAGTTTCATGCCAAAATTTTGAGGTTTTTTGAAATTGCTATACAGGGTGTTTCAAAGGTTCGTTCCGATTTTTTCTTCGCTTAAAATTCACTGATTATTAAAAATACAGTTTTTAAAACTTAAGTATGTTATTTATTATTAATTTAACATTGAATGTCTGAAATATTAGTAACAAAAATGTCTTCCCTTATGTTTTCTGACATTTTGTAAGCGGTGAGGTATACAATGAACGAGCTCCCAAAGCGTGTCTAAAGACACACTTTTCCAGGCAAGGCGTAGTCACTGTCTAAGCTCGTCCAGTGTCTTTGGGGCCGGATCTTTGTATGTTGTATAATCAACGATAATCCAGATGGTCTCTAGAGGGTTCACATCACGTGAGTTTGCCGGCCGGTCGTCCTTTGCTATAAAGTTCGTAAATCCTTCTGACACCATGTCCGCATGTGGCCGCCTTTTTCTCTTCGAGGCTTTCCAACCTTTGTTGGTCATATATCTTCATACTGTTGTACTCGAAACTTTGATATTGTAAAGCTGAATTTTTTTACCTTTCTGTCTTGAGAATTATGACGCATATACTTACAGCTTTTTCGATAACATTTCTCACACATTTAAAAAACAACGGACATCCACTCCTTGGTTTGTCTTCTAAAGTCGTTACTTTTGACCACTTGTTCACTTATATAACCTTCAGACTTCTTTAACAGTTTACCAATTTCCTTGATTGAATGGCCAGAAAACCGTAAAAACAGATGCCTGAGCTCTAGAGCTCTACAGCACAAACAGTGTACGCCTTCATTTTCGTGAAGTAGTAGGGAAATTAAAAGAAAGCGGCAAAAAAACGAAAATAGAAAACCTACAAAATGGGCAGGAAAAATATGGCGGGAAAAAACTCGCGTAGGTGCACATCTGGGGCAAAACTTCAAAAATATTATAATCTATTCAAATCTTAGTTTAAAATTGCTTTGAAAGGTTACGTAGATGAATTTCTTACCTGAATCAGTGTACATTTGCCTAGAGAAGCATTAAATGCTTTGCGCAAAATACAATGTACAATCGGAACGAACTTTTGAAACACACCGTAGTATCGGCAATTTAACAAGATTGCACCTTTTACAATGACTGAGCGATTTCTCGCTTCTTTTCTTTTTCTATGGTCTGTATTCTCATTGACCATAAAAATGACGTCAAAACGTTCAAAACTTTTCGGTAAAACCACTCGATCGCCTGCGGCTCGTATTTCCAGTTGAGTTTGAACATCTTGACGTCATTTCTATAGCTGATAAGAGTAAAGACCATGTAAAATTGCTGATCAATTTTTAAGTTATACTATTTAGCATTTTCAAATCAATAAATAAATACTATTTATTAACAGAGTTTTATTATGTTTGTACAGTTGATGGAGGATGGTCTTTGTGGCGTTATGAGAAATGCAGTGTTTCGTGTGGACAGGGAAAACAAAATCGAACGCGTTCATGTTCAAACCCACCCCCCTCCTCAGGTGGAGCTGATTGTAAAGGCGATGCCTGGGAAACGTTGGACTGCAACAGTGGACCCTGCCCGAGTATGTTACCTTTTTGTTCGAAACTTAAACATTCTAAAAGAATTCTTACTTTGTAGCAAAAACTATGAATCTTAGTAAACCCTTAAGCCCGTTTATTTGTCTCGATATTATTTTTTCAGTCAAGTAAACTCAAATTACCCGATTTGGAAAAATGTAGAGAAATGGATCGTTTTAACATTATCTCGTACTTCTCTGTGGCTCTAAATACAGTGGAACCCCGTTAATACGGTCGCCAAGGGGCCAACAAAATTTGGCCGTATTAATAAGGGGGTTCAACCTTCGCTTGCGTTAGCGGACTGGGGCGAGTTTCAAGACAAACACCTTTTTGGCCGGGTAGAATTATCAAAATCGCTATGAAAAGCGTTAGGACTACAAAAGGGACCATAATTAAATCTTTTTAGGCGATCGGTGAAAGTCACCGCTCCCTTTCAAGTTGCAATGTTATGCGTACTAGGTGATGCGCAGTACAAAATCAGGGAATTACCTTAAGCTTCAAAACTTCTTAAAAACCGGCAAATGCAAAAGGCATTTTGACCAGGACGGCTATAGCTTGTTTCCAAGAACTTTTCCCTTTCCGATTATAAATCTCCTGGGATATAAGCCCCTCCGTTTATAAACGAGGATGCATTAAGCCAGGGCTAATAAGCGACAGTTTAACTCTGATATTAGATACAGTTTCTTTTGCCACTCGAGTCACATAAGGCTAACTGCGCTGTAGGGTTATACGATGTAAGTTTAACATTTACATTATTGACCAGCATGTAATTGGAAATATTGCACCAAGGGCACCATCTTCATTCGGCAATTTTTTACAGAAACTAATAACCAAAGCAAATCACTAACTAATAGTATATTCGCATTTGCTGGGTGATAATTCGATATCGTGAGCGATTTGAGAAATTTCATGGGATTTAAGATGAGCTCGTCATGAATCTTTGAACTTAGATTTCACGAATATTTTACAACGCAAAAGAACTTATCAATTAACGTGATTAACTTTATAATTTCTTTTATTTCTTTATTTATTTGTTGTAATTCCCGTGCCGAAGTGTATTGAAATTTTTCTATTTCCGTAGTGTCCCCAATTAGCTTGTATGAGCTAAACACATCGACACTTAATTGAATTTGTTATGTTATGTTATGTTAGTTGCTATGTTAGTGTATATTAAGAATGTCTTTTTCATTTCATTTCCTCTTCAGCCCAACCACCGACGACAGCCGGTCCACCAGGTACATTATTAAATGTTTTTTTTCTTTTCAAGGAGCTGTTTTCGAGGTTGACGCAGTATAAATTAAATCGTGCTCCTGTCTATGTATAATGTCGCTGACAAGTCTGTTTTAAGCTCGTCTGATCACAAACACGCGCCTTCCTCCATTTCCACACTATAAGATGCGAACTGTCTTTCTCCTGGGACCTATATATAATACCCGTTTACATCAGTGTATATATTTACGAACTTTTTCACTTTCCTTACAGCTACAACCACGCCGAGTCCAACTCCAGGTAATAATAATGATGATGAGGAGGAGATAATAGTTATGATGATAGTAGTAATAATGGTGGCGGCAAATAAGTTGGCTTTACAAGCTTGGTCGAGGGTTTGAACTCTCACTACCATGAACTATTACAGCTGGCAGTCAGGGCGGGACTTAACTCGGCAGTCGGGGCCTTCTGATTTCAACTCCAGTTGAGTTACTTTAGGGCTCATAAGAAGTTTTTCCACTATTGTGAACATTCTGTTCAAAATAGGTGTTCCGTCTTTGAGATTTAATGTAATACCAAAATATCCTAAAAATGCGGATTGTAACTTGAAACATCACTCGGCGTTGTAATCGTAAGGAAATGTAAGAACGATTATTGACCAAGTGTTATTATTGACCATGTGTTTTCTATCGGCAGTCTCGGTCGACAGTTGTACGATTAAACTAGTTTACGAGTAATTCGTGGTTTAATTGGGTGGCTTTCTTTTTCCGGGTTCTTCTTCAATGTGTAGTTAGAAAGAAAACGATGCGATCTTTTCGAGTTATCAGCTTTCCACCTGTTCCGAGATTCGTTGAAGTAATTTTAACTACTTCTATGTGATTTTAACTGCGGTTTTTCTTTTTTTTGCTCCAGATCCTAACGCAACACTGATCGACTTAGTCTTTGCATTAAGCGCGACTTCAAGTAATTCATTTCAAGCATACAATAAGATGAAAGACACAGTGAAACAGTTCATCGATAAATATGGAGCAACTGCGATACATTACAGCATCATCGTCTACGGTGGGCAGGTCTTAAGGGTGGTGAATTTTAATCACACCTTCCCTCCTAGCGCAAATGAGCTGAAGACTGCCATAAGTAATCAACGATCGCTGTCTGGAGGCCCTGTTTTAAAAGACGCATTGGACGAAACGTTCAGAATTTTTAATGAAACAATTGGCCGTCCCAAGGCTCTGAAAGTTCTGGTTGTCATAACAGATAACAATTCTGAAAACAAGAAGGACTCTTTGAGCGCGGCTGTAAAGCGTTTGGAGGAGCAGATTTATCCTAAAGGAGTGCTGGTGATCTCGGTTGCATTAGGAGCTGTGAATAGGAGCGAACTTCTCGTTATATCACCTAATCCTCTGGATGTTTTATCCGTTGGTACAGGCATAAATGCTGGAATTTTGGCTGAACGTATTATGGAGAGGATTCTAAGACGTAAGATATCAAAAGCGGGAAGGAAATTGGGTTGAGATAACGGATGAATTTAGAGTTTCTGGGAAACTGCCCACGTACCCCTCCCCTAACCCAGAAGTTAGTGTTAATGTTGACTTAGGGGAGGGGTAGATGGGCAGTTTCCCTGAAACCTAAATTGATTCACAACTTTCGCAGACTTCTGTCACTGTTACTAGGGACAGGGGTGGGGATAGCCAAAAGCTGATCGGTGCGTCTCCATTAATGATCCCAGAAACAATCGCAAGACACATTTCGGTACCAATCCCCTTTTCTTCGAAATCGCCACTTGCGAAAGATTATCATTAGATCTCATCGATTGTAGCCCCTTCTGACACCTCATTAAATTTACACAACGTAGTTTTCCTCTTTACTAATTAGGGTTAAGCACTGCCTTTACTGATTAGGGTTAAGAACTGCCTTTAAAGATCAGGGTTACGCACTGCCTTTACTGATTAGGGTTAAGCACTGTTTTGAAACTGGTTAGGTTCTTTTTTGGGGTTGGGGTTGGGGTTGATGCCTATATATACTTAAATTATTTCATCTCCGCCCAGCAAATCGTCAGTAGCCTAGTGGTCAGCATAGTATACGGGACCATCTGGGTCGTGGGTTCGAATCTTACTGTGCATGTCTTTCTTATCGTTTTTTTTTTCTTTCAAATTGAAGAGACTTGCACTTTCATGAACATTTGCGGCTTGAAATATCATCTAAGTGTGATAAAAGCAGAAAACAGTTCTAACTTGTGTAACTTTTATGAGGGGAGAAAGGGGCTACGGTCGATGAGATCTAATGCTGACCCTTATGAAACCAGTTAACATTTGTGAAGACTTCTGGGACTGTAACAGGGACATGACTCCGAGGCTTTAGGGTAAAAAAAGTTGTATCACGTTGTATCTGACAATTTGTGAGAAGTGCCGGTTGAACACATATCCAAATCAAAAAAAAAAACTGACTGTATTCGTATGCGTGTGCTCTTGCTATGCCTTACTATTCATGACATTATTTCCCTCTTATATTACAGTGAGCACTCCCATTGTCGACCTTGGATTCGCCTTAAGCGCCACCTCAGCCGATTCCAATGTGATTTTCATGCTGATGAAAAGTGTAATAAACACAATTATCGACCGCTATGGTGTAGACAAAGTGGGATTCAGCGTCATAGTTTACGGAAACGTTGCCACCACAAGGCTGTCCGAGTTCAATTTAAACTTCACCCAGGATGACCTTATTAAAGCAGTGAAAGATCTCCGCCGAGTTGTGGGACCTGTTGACCTAGAAAAAGCCCTGAAGGAAGCTAGAAATCTGTTTAACGCTAAAGCAAGACCTGGAGCTAAGAAGGTGTTTGTTGTACTTACCGACGCTGTTGCTAGAAACGGAGACCGAGCTCTCTTAGTGGAAACAGCTCGATTGAGAAGAGAAGGCGTTCTTATTTTGTCCGTTGGATTTGGTACCCAATCTGATCGAATAGGAGGACAGATGAATACGGTACTTTTCAGTCCAGATGATTACATAAGCGTGCCTAAGTACTTCGCAGCAAGAAGAGTTGCTATAGCTGAGACCATAATGTTTAAGGCACTGCAAGGTATGTTTATTACTTAAACACGTACCGTAAACTGCTGCTTATGAGCCCCCCCCCCAACTATAAACCCCCGAGTTACATAGGCCCACCTACTTGTAAACAATAACAAAATAAGCCCCCGCCGAATATAAGCCCCCTCCTAATGCATTGAAAATTTACGGCATGACATAATATGACATTATATGTATACATGTATGCGATATGACATCACATTATATCAGTTAAAAACGCCACTCAGTACTCCTAAAGTTTCGAACTCCCACTTGGCACCACGAAGGCTGCAACTGGCCATGACAAGCGCGTGAGCGAACAGCTGGACTCTACTGTTCCCTATTTACCGTTGAAGGGAGTAATTGAACAACTATGAAATAGTTTTACCTTTTCGTGTTTGTCAGAACGCATCCTAATCTCGTGTTCCTGTGGCACTAAGGCAGAAATTTTTGAGTTATCACGGGCGACTGCAAATTAGCCGCCCCTATTAATTTTATCAGGGCATCTCGGCCGGGAAACTGGACTCCTTTCCACTCGATTTCGTTTCCGTAAGTCGTGACGAACGAGGATTCGTAATTAATGATCACCTTTAGTTGTTAAACTATCTAGAGTTTCTTATTTTTTGCAGCTAATGTTCCCCTGATCGACCTGACCTTTGCTCTTAGCGCTACCTCAGTTTCAGCCAAAAGCTCTTACATTTTGATGAAGCGAACAGTGCAGAGTATCGTCGAGAAATACGGTGTTAACAGAATCCATTATAGTGTCATCGTCTTTGGATCGGTTGCCGTAAGTCACATAGAGTTCTCCACATCTATTCCGGACCGAGACGAATTAATCCGTAAAGTGGTTCGACTGCCAAAGAGTACGGACAGCCCCGACCTGATCAAAGCGCTTGAAAAAGCAAAACAAGTGTTTGAGTTACAAGAAGTACGACCAAACGCCAAAAAGGTTCTTGTTGTGATTCTGGACAACGCATCCACCAGCAACAAAAAAGAGCTGAAGAAAGCGGTACATGTGCTGGTTAACAAGAGTGTTTTAATAATCGGTGTCGGAGTAGGATCAGCTGTTGACCCGGAGCAGTTAGAAATTATCACTGAAGAGATTAGGAACGTAATCAGAGTTGGAACAGACAAAAACCCAGATGAGCTGGCAAAAGAAATCATGGCAATAATTTTAAGAAGTAAGTTTCTTTGTCGTATTCATTCCCTCCTTCCTTCCTGACCCTTCCCAATCCCCTTCATTCCTCATTATTCATTCTTTTACTCGTCTATTTATCCATTCGTTGATGTTTTTTTTTTTACATCTTTTGTGATACATCAGGGGCACCCAACGAGAATATAGTTCAAAACCACTTAAACATAGCATTGTTAAACGTATTTTAGTATTTAAACGGTAGATATAGGCATATTTTTATCCCCTAAAAATTTTTCATCTGTTCAGCTGAAAGTCTCGAGATCCGAAAATCATAGGGATCAAAACTTACCTTTTCGAAAATTTCAGCCAGAAAAAAGGCACCCGAAAATTCTAGGTAAGCTTTTTAGGGTAAAAATCCGTTAAAAATGGGCAATTACACCAATTTTTAGATGTTCGAAAATCCTAGGAGAGGTAGGCAAGCAAGAAATTTTACAACAAATGTTCCGAAAATTCTAGATCTAAAATCGTCTTCGGAACAGATATTCTTCCGAAAATTGTCGTTGGGTGCCCCTGATACATGTATCTCTCCTCACGAGATATTTTCCTTTTTAGCTTCTGGTTTCTCGGAATGGACGTCATGGAGCGCATGCTCAAGAACATGCCAATATCTTGGTGTGGATGGAACAAGAAAACGCACGCGATTCTGTAGAATCCCAGAATTAGGATGTGTTGGCCGTCAAATTGAAACGAAAGAATGCAACATCAGGCAGTGTGAAGGCAAGTTTCACAATATAATCATTTGTTAACTGTGTCATTGGGTTCCATTCGGCGTTTTTCTTCGGTCAACGAAATAGGCCCTTTGCTGCTAGTCATTCACGTGGTACAAAACCGCCATGTTGGAGAGCAAGGGAGACGCTGAGACAAGACAACCAAAGAGCTTGCAACATTTAAATTGTCAATTAGACTAGTTCGCTTTAGCAGTGAGACTAAAAATGTAAGCATTTTTTTCTTTTCGAGTGTGTCTGTGCTCTCCTCAAGGGGAATCATGGTCCCGTGTGTTCCTAGTGGAGACCGTCGAAACTGGGAATAAGACTCGCGATGTGTCAAAGCGCCATATTATTGTTTTGTGAAGAAACCTTAAGAAAGATTAATGCGAAAGATGTCGAGTTTTCCGGAAAGGGTCGGTTCACGAATTTTATCGCTAGAAAGCGTTGATTACTTAGGAACAAGTGAATACTTCAGTGGTCGAGAAAAAGAAGAATCTTTACGAGCAAACCTTCGATGGTGAGGCGTTGGAAACTTTCATTGTATGCAAATGAGTCTTGTGATGGTCATGCGGTTTATTTCCGGCTATGACTGAAATGACAAGCCATATTCATCACGTTTTTGCTCTGTAATTTCTCTCGAATCGAGGCCCTTTGATTTTCGTGTATTTATACGCGCGGACTGAAACAATTCAGAAACAAATCGTCCAATACGATATAAAATTAAAAAGTAAATATCCTGGAAAATACTCTACCGTCGATAAAGAAGGACCTGAAAAACTTTTAGCGAGGAAATCCTGTTTCGTGCAGAATTAATCGCCTTCTCATTTCTTATCTAATCTCCAAGCAAGCGAGACTAAACTCTTATAAAAGCGCTGTTGTTTCCTTTCTTAATTTCCCTTCGAAATTTCCAGCGTGGCAATTTTGTATCACGTGAATAATAAAAATAGGGGCATTTGTCTAAATTAGAAAATCTTGCTCTCAGATTCCAAAAAAAATGTTGCGGGAGGAATTTGCAGCTCAGCTAAAATCATCTCTGTTTTGTTTACAGGCTGTGGAGAGAAAGGCCCACTAAATGATTCCAATTACCGGGCCTCCAGCGCCTTTGCACCTGCCCGAAACGCTGCACTCGACACTTCTAACCCTAGTGCTTCTCGGGTAGCCTGGTGTCTACGACAAGACGATGTCGGTGGTTATCTGGAACTTAATTTAGGTACAATGTAATTACGTTACCGCACAGTTGTATGACAGGTTTGGTGCACATTATATTGCCAATATTTATAACAAGGACTTGAACTTACCTATGCTTAGGTGTTGCAATTAATAAACTAAGCTTCGTTTTAAGTGGAGTATGACCAATAAGCACTATCGTCGTCCTCTAGTTGACGGCCATTCTTTGCAGTGCAAAAATTTAATGAACGACATTTTCAGTTTACATAGGATGTTGCTATTTCACGAGGGTAAAATAAATTAGAGCTTAAGACGGAATCCATTAAGAAAATTGAGTAATTTTAATTTTCAGTGGACAAAAACCTTGTACCAGAATTTCAAGCATAACGCATTCGTTATTTGCGAGGGCTATAAATGTAATAAGTTATGTGAAATAAATCCAAAGAAAAAGTTCTTATGGGAGCCCTGGGAAAAAAAATTCAAAGGCTTCAAACTTCACTAAATGAAATCTTACGCATGACGAATTTACCTGTGTTTTCTCAATTCCTGTGAAATTTGAAATTTATTTTCTCGGGCTCCCATAAGAAATTGTCTTTGGTGTTATTACAGATGAATAACTACATCTATAGCCTTCAACGGTGTAAAAAAGAATGCGATGTGGCCTAAAATATTCAGGTACAAGGTTTTTGTCCACTGAAAATTAAAATTACTCAATTTTCTGATGGATTCCGTCTTAAATACCTTTTCCTGTCCCATCCAGGCACTTGACATTTGTTTATAGGCTTGAGAATTGAGGAGAAATACGTCATGTAACTAACTTATCTACAACCATGGACGCTTTGCATCGTTTGTTCGGGGGTAGAGACGATGTTTAGGTTTTTAAGCTCTTTTCTGCCACATTGATTTACCTGAGTTGTTTTTTCAACGTGACAGGGGAAACGATGAGGGTCTATCGTGTCGCCACAAAAGGCCAAGAAGAAGGAGGTAGTAACTGGGTCACTAGCTACTACCTGGCGTTTAGCTCAGATGGTTTAATTTATTCTAACTACACTCAAGGGCAAAACAGAGCTAGGGTAAGTGTTATACTCAACACAGTGGCATTAGGACATACTTGTTTACTGTGCTGAAAAAAAAAGTACTGGGTTATAAATAAAATGTTTTATTAGTATTAGAATTTCGACTGGTAAATGACAATGTGAACTGAAAAAACAAAGGAGTTTTATGGCGTCTTTTAAAAAGGCCTATGGAGCATCTGACCATAGCTAACTAACTTTTTTAGGAAACAGAGTTCAAGATTTTTGTCTTTTTCTTGTTTTGTTTTGTTTTGTTTTTTCTTAATTTTGAGGCCATTATCATTTTCAGTTATTAACTGGCAACAACGGTCCTACTTCTGTTGCCTTTAACAACCTCAACGCGACAGATCCAGTCCAATATGTTCGATTCTTTCCGGTATCGTTTCAAGGACGCCCCTGCATGCAGGCCGCAGTATTCGGATGTAACGCTGCACGTGAGTAAACAACATACATTATTTTTTTATTCCTGGCGCTCATATATGATCAAGCGCATCGAAAAAAGGCCCCCATACGTAAAAAAAAACAAAAACAATTTAAAGGAAAACAGTAACAGGAGCACTGAAATCTGTAGTATACTTTCGCCCCAATTAAGGGGAAATCCGGCAAGTTATTGCTTGTGGAAACCGGAATCCTGAGCTTTGAAATCCGGAATTCAGCCCAAGTTCCATACAAAAGGACCAGAAATTTCTTACACGAGGCCAATCCTTGGCTGATCTGCAGTGTTAATCCATTCGCTCCTGGAGATTTTGCCGAAAACACGTTTTCAAGCTAGTCGAGTGGTTTTCTGGTCACTGTCGTGCTATAAAGAGCTAAAACTTACCACAAACCGGTTTACAGGTCGTACACTTCGCGACCTTCTGATCAAGATGCAAAATATCAGCTTGCGAAGTTCGGGCATGCGCAGAAAGCAAAATTTCGAGATTTTGGGTTTAAAAGTGACACAGCAGTCTTGACTTTTATTTTTCGCTTTCTCTCCTCCCTTCTTTTTTCGCTTTTCTTGCGTCATTTTTTTTTTGGCTCTTGCTGGGCATTTAGTAGGCTTCATTTTGGTGGGAAGAGTTTTTAGGAAAGCTTTTAGGATCTTAGGATTAGGTGAAAGGAAAGGTAGGTGGGCAATAGAACAAGATTTTCATGGAGATTCAGGTCAATGTCACGTGGTTTTTTGCTTCTTTCTCCGGTGTCCTTGACTGAATTGTGCTCATTCTGGTATGGTTTGAAAGATCTCTTCACTCTGCACAAGTTAGCGAAGAAAGTTGTCCTTGACCGTTAAAACTGATGACGTCACAAAGGGTAGAAAGGACCTGGATTGGCACGGGCGGTTACGGGCGGTTCAGGGGCGAATGGGTTAAGTACCAAGTAACCTCATTACTAATGTTATCTTCGCCAATCAGCATTTCGAGTCGACTTTTTCGATGCAGATATTCAAATTTCAGAGACGTAATTGCAAGCTCTCCTTCCTTTTGCCGCCCCGCCGCCAGAGCGCCCCGGAGAGCTCGCTCGCACGCTAAAGAGGTATTGGACGTGAATGCATTGCTTCTTTTGCTGGCTATACCTTACCCCTCACCCCCACCCCCCTTGCGTGTCATGTTATATACTTACACCTCTGGTGTACGTCGCAACTTTGCGTTTCTGTGGAAATCTATGCCATTATCTAAAGTGCTGGCCTAGATGAACGGCAATTAAAAAATTAACCGATAAATCGTATTTATCAAAACAGCACTAAAAGTTGTGGCTCTTCCCAACTGAGAAAAAAAGTGCAGAAACGTTAGAGCTTTGATAACAGCTACCCAAGATAAGTAGCCTGCGAAAACATCCGTTTCTCCTCGCTCTTCGCCGCTGGGGACGTTTCGCGCGCAGGAACGTCTGCGACTCAGCGGCACAAATTCCATACTGATGACGCAAATCAATGTTTACATAATAAATCCGGTCATGGGGTTCCAAACACAAATTTGCCCAATTTTACGTGTCTTCTGGTCGATTTTGGTAAAGTGTTGTGTTCGTCTGCGAACGAGCTCCAGCAAAACTCAAACGCTTCTTCTAGAGAAGAGTATATTCCACAAATATTGACTGTTTTGCTAGAGATTCTTCGCGTTTACATTTGACCTTTGTGGCCTTTTGTCTTTTGTCTGTCATTCGCAAACAATAGCTAAAACAATGTAACTACTCCGTCGACCAATCAGCGCTTCTGACCGGATTCCGGACAGATTTTACGTCATCAGTATGGAATTTCTGTCGCTGAGTCGCAGACGTTCCTCCGCGCGAAACGTCCCCAGCGGCGAAGAGCGAGGAGAAACGGATGTTTTCGCAGGCTACAAGATAAGGGGCGACAACATGCCAAAAGATTGAGAGAAGAAAGATGTGAATTCTAGTAGAAAATAATAATAGTAATAATAATAATAATAATAATAATAATAATAATAATAATGATGATGATGATGATGATGATGATGATAATGATAATGATGATGATAGTATTAATAACAATAATAATATATTTTTCCATCTATTATTTCCAGTAATAGTACCACCAGCAGTTCAACAGGCCGTTGGCGGTGATGCGGGCCGTGGAGTGCGTAAGTACAAGCAGCTGCTATTTCAATTTTTTGTTTCTTCAGTAAACCAAATTATCGCATTTTAAAACAAGGTAAATTCTTCAACGATTGCCGCATATAGGATAATCAACTAACGGCACATTCTGATGTACCTCTTGTTAAAAATAAAAATAAAAAAATGAAAATAAAATGAAATAATACTTCATTATCCTATCCCCTTATGGCGCTTGTCAGAAATAATGGACCATTTCATTCAAGTGGTACATAATGTGGTTAAGAATCCCAACTGGCAGGAGGCAAACCAGTTGGCTATTTACAAGCGTGGGCGATTATTTGAACACTGGAAAACCACGAAAAATTCCAGCTAGCGGTCAGGGCGGGACTTGAACTCGCGACCTTCGGATTACAAGTCCAGCGCTCTAATCACTCGACCACGCTGCCTCGAACTCATCGTGTTGTTACTTGTCATCCATTAAGTTGCCTCCCTGCGAAGCAGTTTAGCATAGCAGTCATTTCATCGTCAGCCATCTTAAATGTTCGTGAAAAGGAAAAATGTTTCACTTCGTTTTTTGTCTCCCAAGACGTTTTATGGAAAACTACAGGAGCCCAGCTATCATCTTCTAAACCCGGATCTATCTTTAGGATAATAAACACAAAATTTCTGTTGTTACGTTTCGACGTTTCGTGAAGAGCTAGAAAAATATGCGAAAGGACCGTTTCCGTGGTTACGGTCCATACTTTGAAATCCTGACCATAAAACAGCCAATCAGAGATCTTCATTGAGCCTTGAGAATTGCTTGCCATATAATAATCATGACCGTTATTTTGCTTTTTCAGTAATTGCACTCTGGATATTGGCTGGAATATTGACTTTCCTTCTTCTTATGGCCTGTTGTTATTACTGCTGCTGGCACGTATGCTGTGGAAGGTATGTGAAGAAAATGTGATCAATTGAGGTTTTTGATTATCTGACGACCTACCCCTCCCTTTAGTCAAAATTAACAATTACTTCTCACTTGGGTCAAAATTGTGACTTAGGGGAGGGCTAGGTGGGCAGTTTCCCAGAAACCTCAACTGATCCAAAAAATGTACCGTGGGTGGGGAGAGAGAAGGGGAAAATGTCTTTGCACAAACCTTGTCCGAATAGGTTCCCATTAAAAATTTCCCTCGACTTCCACTTCCAGTGACAGCATCAAATACGAAAATCCAAAGTTTTCTCAACCCCCTCCCCCCCGGGGAGAGAGGAGTGTTAAGAGGTTTAACCTCGCAGCGGAGTGCCGTGTATAAAACTTTGTTGAGTAGCCCCCCTATATCTATCCCACTCAGATCAACAAAAAAGGTTTTACCCACTCAGGCCTAGGCCAAACGTCGAACTTCCCATGAGACGAACCAAGCTCTAATTTGAGTCGACCTAAATTAAGTTAAGATCGTCTGTTGGGTCAGACTTCGAACTGACGACAGGTCCAACCAATCAACTGAATCAGATCAATAGTAAATTATCAGATCAATCTTGCCCGCCTACCCCTCCCCTAAGCTAACATTAACACTTACTTCTCACTTAGGGCAATATGATGGCTTAGGGGAGGGGTAGGTGGGCAGTTTCCCAGAAACCTAAATTGATTGATCCAGAAATTTACTACTGAAGGAGGATCATACAAATTTTTAAGTTGTTAGTTTAGTTCGTCGCATGTGAAGATTGACCTTTCTCGCGTAGACGATCTTCAGACGTTCCGTCCGTCTGAAGCAGAACGGAACGGATAGAACGTGTTGGACGATCCAAACTCATTCAGTCGAACTTAACTGAGCCAGACGTCGAACTTTTCATGAACTTCACTCGGTAACTTCGGTTGCTCTCATGAAAAGTTCGACATTTGGCCTAAGACTCATTCTGCGTGTACATCCGAAGGTTAGGATGCAACCTATAGTGACGAATAACATGTTTACTCACTACATAGGGGCAAAAAGAGAAGAGGTTTTGCCTTTAAAGAAACGGTCTCTGACGAAGGCGGATATCTTATTGAACAAGACCAAAGATGGAAGGTTCCTCCAACAGCCATGGTGACAAGACCCGCGGAAGATGAAGTTCAGGAGATAACCATAGAGATGAAAGAGGAGAACAAACCATTTGGTACGCGGAGAGAGCTTCTTTCTTGTTTCTCCCCTGTGTCATTAAACTAACCTCAATTTTCCAGTCTTAAACTTGGCAAATCCCACATACAATTCCCCCCTTTCAACACCCCCAGCAAGGGCAAGTGCTCTGCAAGCCGCTGTTTAAGACATGCAAAGAGTATTGTCACCATGACATATACATCTCCTTAGCTAATTTTCGGCTTTTACCACTTTGTTTTAGGAGTAATCCAGTTCGGTATTGAAGCCGACGAGACACAAGAAAGACACGTGACCGCGGAGGATGTAAAATCAGAGACGCCAAAATATTCGGAAGAAATCGGTACAATAAAGAGTGGAGCTAGTATGATGACAATGAGCAGCGCGTCCGATGCCGGATACGCATCAACAGAGAGGAGAAAGCGAACCAAGAGTGACTCAGCAGCCTCCGCTGGTGGCACCGGAGGAGCAGAGTTTTCATTCAAGGAGGAAAATGTACAGGGATCAGATTTTACCAATCAAGGATATATGAGGTTTGTAGCCTGTCCACTTGCGCTTGCGGTCAATAAATCCCCGTCGGTTTTTATTTTCATACGCGCGCTCGACGATCTCTTAAGGTTGATTTCCACTGACGCGTTTTTGGCTACGTACGTTAACGCACGTAAATTTTAATCACGTAAAAAAAAAAATAGAGGCAAGATAAAAAGTGCTGAGCTTAAGCGAGGAGTTGAGCGAGGTTCATCTTTTACGCTTACGAGAGACCTTTCATTCATTGTCTCTATTTTATTTGCGAACGCAAATTTTACGCACGTACGCACGTAAAAATTACGCGGCAATGGAAATCAACCCTAATGGTGGATTTCCATTGCTGCGTAATTTTCACGTGCGTACGATCGTAAATTTTACGCGCGTAGATAAAATAGTGGCAACGTGTGGAAGGTCGCGCGTAAACGTAAAACTTGAACCTGGCTCAACTTTTACGTTTACGTGCGACCTTTCATACATCGCATCTACTTTATTAAGGCGCGTAAAATGTACGTGAGTACGCACGTGAAAATAACACAACAGTGGAAATCATCCTTGAATAAAATAAAAGCACTGTATGAAGGGTGGCGAGTAAACATGAAAGTTGAACCTCACTAAACGTTTTCGTTTGCGCACAACTCTCCATGCATCGCCTCTCTTTTATTTACGCGCGTACAAAAAGAAATCCACTTTCAAGAGAAAATAAGGCTTCTGTGGGCAGGCTATGAGGTTTGAGTTTTTTTTATGACGCGTTATCGTCAATATTATAGTTTGCATGTACACTAGATTTTCCGAGATTTGCTATTGAACTATTCATTCTAAGTTGGATGGTTAGCAATGCCGCAGTTAAGGTTTCCACAGGTTGCCTATAAAGCGTTTTCAAGTGACGTCACGTCAGCCATGTTGGTGTCCCAAACCAATCCTGTAGTCCTGAATTCAGTTGAGAAATGTAAATTAACCAAGGTTAATAGGAGCTGCTTAGGCTATCTTTGTTTTGACTTAAATGTCTTGGTGACAACTTTTTATTTTTTGGCAGGTCACAAGAATACCTAGCCGAACAACGTCAGTCAACGCCGGTTCGCGCCACTGGGCAAGGATTGAGGCGTTCCCAAAGCGTAGACGTATTTGCCAATGTTGATTACGACATGCTTAAAGACCGTCGTCGATCCTCCCAGCCTGTGCAGACGACACGTGATGGTTACGCGAGGATGCAAGAAGAGAGCGGTGAATTTCTGCACGGGGCTGATGAAGGTTATGCGATGGGAACTGTTGATGTGGCTATAGCTGGGATAGGATTCTCGGGTGGATCCAGGTTAGGAGCTGAGCCAATATACGATATGCCGGAACAGGAGCTCGGCTTTATAGCAGATAACGGAGGGCGCAATGTGTACACCCTTGATAACGGCGGATACCGTACGGAAGAGTGGTATACCAGAGGAGGTCGCGGCCCAGGTCAGTTGAGAGAAGAAGGATTCAAGGAAATTCACGTGGAGCATAAGCCGATCTATACTGAGATGACGTTTGGTGAAGAGGTAAATAAACTTACAATCGTTCTTTATCAGTCCTTTTGATTTGAGGGCTTAAGCGTATTAAGTTTAGGTTGAACTTGATAATCCTTCAAGCAGGCCAAGGTAAGCATTCGTCTGGCAGGGATACTGAAAATCCTCGAGGATAAGGTTCCGGTTGTTGCAAGCCCCTTCTATCTATGTTCGTTGTTTTAACCCCGTGTTAAGCGTGGTGAAGATTTTTTCATTAACTTATGTTGTTCTAGTGTTTTTTATTGAATACAATCTTCGTCAACATCGTAATGTTTCCTGAACTGTAATTCATGAAGTAAAATGAAGTAATTCCTAAACTCCCGGTAATCATAATCAACTTATTAAACAATTGAAAAAAAAATTCCTTGACGCAACTTCTTACTTCTTGTTCTTCACCCTTGTATCCCGTTAATTAATGATCAATTTAATTGTTTTAAAAAGTGTATCGAATATTTGTTTTTACGTGGCGTTATTTAATGACTATTTAATGATTTTTGTTTTCTTTTTGCAGGAATTTATGCCCCGGCGGGTATAAACAAATTGTCCCTTAGCATGAATTACAAAGATAGAATGATACAATCTTAGCTCTTAATTTTGCTGTTTATTATGCCAGAGTGGAGAGATATCACGATCTCGGCGATATACTCTAGACGATCTATTAGGGACTACTTGTAAATAAGTCCAATGTTTGCTATTTCCAAGAAAAAAAACTTTTTCTTAATCTTCATCTTAGTCTCAATACCTTGAGTAGGTTAAGCGGCAAGAGGTGATTTTTGAGCAGCTTGACCATATTAAAGACAGTCGAGTAGAATCGTTGAATTTTTTAAGCGCGGTTACATATGTAGATCGTTTTTAATTACAGCTTTCAACACATGATTTGCTTAGAAGACTAGAGCTTCAATAAGAGCTCTAGACAAAACCAACCAAACAAAAAATATTCAAAAGTTGCTGAACTTTACAAGCGATTTCTAATGTATCGTTCAATGAATGAATTCATGAATTCAGCAATCTGTAGCTTGAAGTTCTCAAGTGATGGCTTGTACAACAAACCTACGTTGTTGTATAAACATGGTCGATCAAATCGACCTAAGCCTGCTGTCTTTGCATCGCAGAAAGTAGACCTTTAGTTTATTGTTAGAATTGAGTGAAAATATGAGTGTTTTTCGCTTTATGCATTTTTTTTATCACAACTATACTGGCTAGAGGGCTCAACAGAGTGGTCAAAGAAAACTACATAATTATACGTCGAAAAATGGCCTTTGACGAGATAAAATTAATATTACTGATACATTTTGCCAAGTACCTTGTTTTAACGGGCGTAATTTTCTCACCTTTTTTTAGTGGGTTTTGTGATCATTTCAACGTAATAATAATAATGATAATAATAATAATAATGATGATGTAATATATTTCATTGAAAGTGGCTTTACCTTTCTTGGCAATAATAAAATCAGGTGTGTTTATTCGATGACGTAAACACTCCCAATATGAGTTCTTTACTTTAGCTGTTTTACTTTCCCTTTACGATCCACGTCTATACTAGATGTATTTATATGGAGACATCGGAGCTTAATGGTGCTCCTCACCGTATCTCTTCAGTAACAGTTTAATCGTTGAACATGCCAACCAATCCCATAATTTCACATATTTAGTCTTTGTGACCTCATCACTTCCTTTTTTTTACGACTGCTTATGATATAGCTTATACAGCGTTCGGGTTCCCTGTGTTTACACCCATGGAAGTTGAACAACGTGCATACGTACAGTACATATATACATATCCTTTATTTAAAAACGATATGATTTAAAGCTCAAAGCTTGTGTGGTCGTGTAAAAATGATTACAAATGAATACAGAACTATGTATTGAAAATAGAGATAGCATTACTTACAAAATACAACTTCAATAACAAGTCTAATAATATACAGTAAGATTCTAAAAAGATACAATGTTAAAATAAATTTACGTCAGTTACCTCTAAGTAAATTGACCAGAGCATTTAAAACGTAAAATTGTTAAGAGCATTTAAAATCTTGGTCGTTACTTATCTATGAAAACAACGCGACAGCAACGCTCAAACCTTTCTGGAGGTGGTGACTCCCCAGGCCACCACGCCCACGCCTACAGTAATTAACAGGTATCATTCCATTGAATTGACAAATACGGGGTATGGCCTTCAAACGGATTTCTATCTAAGAGAAAAAAGGTCAAACATACATAACATTTTTCGCTTCTCTTGTTTGCTTGCCTCTTCAGCGTGTATGAGAGAAATAAACAGCTAAAAACCGTCGTCCACCAGATCAATTTTATTGAATCGATTGTCGTTACTTGCTGGAAGGTTCTGATTTAATACTTGTAATACTAGTTCGAGGAATGACTAACGCCTTATTTTGTTCACGTAAAAATGAATGTCCTTGTAGATCAATTGGGTTAGATATTCACTTATGCACAGCCTTCATAAAGTTCAATAAAATGGTAAATCCTAACTAAATACATTTAAATAAACAATTAACTGTTCTCTGCTCAAAACCTTTAAGACCGAACAGGTCTTACACCTTTTTAGGGCATCTTGAAACTGCCAGGCAGTAATTTGATATAAAAAGTCCATTTCAAAGAAACAGGCACTTAAATTGGAAGCCTTATTTCATGTTTTGAAGCCTTCATGGCTCACGCCTTTCGTTCCATGTCCAGCCGCACTCTCTTCTGTCTTACAACTGTACAACCCTCAAATCTATTGTAAAAAGAACGTGAAAAACTGATTAAGATTAGTAAATCCATGCAATACAACACATTTACAGATAACCTTTGCTTTGTTCACGTCGAGTACTCGTCCAAAATGAATTCTGTTGTAGGTACCTCCAAAGCTTACGGACCAATCACAGGTCACTGGGGCTCGCAATAACAGATTCAGAGAAAAATGAGAACATATATTTAAATTTAAGTGTCAGTGGCCCTGTTGAGCTCGTTGCACTGTTTATAGACTTGAATCCAAGGCGGCTGGCCCTTCCCCACTTGCCTTTTGCAAGTAAACACTGCTGGTGCAGCAGAGAATGCGATTTTCATGAGTGAAGATTCTGCTTTGCAGGCCGCTTTTAAGCTAATAGCTCTATAACCAATTAATGAAAGGTAATTCTCGCTTACATTGTTGTTATTATTATAATGTATTTCAGCAAAAACTGTTCCATCTTCGAAGCTGAATATCTGAAATCCGTCATCTCTTAGCTGTTCGTTGGAAATTTCCATGAAAACTCTATCCACTTGTTCTCGGCGGAGTCGAGTTTCTTCCCCAGGGGACTGGGCGTTTCCTTCTCTTCCTGCGTGACAACTACCCGACCCTTGTACGTCGTTGTCATCGTCTTTACCCCAGAGATTCGACTTAAAGAAACCTAGTTCGTCTCCATAAAGCTCGTGATACAGGGTTTCTAGGTCTTCCGCACTTCTGGAACGTGTTATTTCTACTGTTGTTATTCGATTTTGGGCAGGCTGTCTTGTCTCTACTGCAGGCAACTCCTGAGAGCTATTAAAGAAACAGAATTACTTTTTGAGCCATGCAAAAAGGAAGAAAACAGCTACAAACGTAACGATTAGGCTCATACCTGTTATGGGGTGAAAGGGGTTGAAATTGTAATAGAAGCTAAGCGTTTTACAAAATGAGCATCTCAGCGTTAGTCTTCAGACGTTTTTGCAAAACAAATAAACGTGGAGGTTAAGGCAGTTGTATAAACCAACTTTTTGGAAAGAAAGGTAAACTTTACAAAATGATATAAATCATATGCAAGATAATCTTCCTAAAGGCCTGTGATGTCATTAAAAATGGTCGCTACCTTGGACGCCATATTGGATTTTACCCAAAAGTCAGGTTTACCAGATAAGTATAGAAACTAAACAGTTTGTGACGGACGTTTTTGGTGCCGCCTATTTTGAAATGTGGAAAACTGTTTATAGAAATTCTATATCGGACATACTGCCGACTCTTTCTCAGCGGACAGACACCCGCTTGGATTGACGTGTCTGGCTTTTTAAAAAAAATGTGAAAAAATAGGTCTGGAAAGAAGCAGGATGCCAGCCTAAGGTATCCGTAAAAAGGAAAGTTGACTGAATAGCGAGTAGGTGTCTTTGGTCATAGAAAAACACCACCTGAAGAGACGAACTCCGCCTTTTATTCACATGAGGAGTTTAATAAAACTCGTTTTCCACAGACCTTACAAAGCCTTTATTAATATATCCAGGACGTTGAGTAGAGGCGTTTATGTCACTGGAACACTCTTGATTCTTCGTGCCAAGCACTGCCACGCTGGGCTCGCTCTTAGCGCGCCAAATTTGTTCTCTACTACTGTCCTCCTTCCTTGTGGCCGTCCTGGCATCCTCCTTGTAAACTGGTGTCTTCGAGTGCACGGTTTCGGCTGTAACCAGGTTTGCATTTGAGCATTTCGTTTCTACTTCGAATTGGATGACACCTGTTATTGTGGTGTACAACGATAGTGAGTGAGAACGAAGTATAAGAGCAATGCTGGTTGATTTGGAAGATTAAATTGAGAACTCATTCATGGAACGTTCCCTTGTCTAATAAATAAGTGTATGCGTGAATTTAAAGCCTGGTTCTCATATGCCGCCGAAGTACCTGCGACGCAACCGCCGGAACTGCCTGCGATACTACTTCGACAAATGAGGACAAAACGCCGCCTGACTTCACAGTTATGCCGGCGGTAAAGACTTGTGATGTTTCTTGTTGCTGGCGACTTCTGTTCTCATATCCGAACGGTATCGCAGCAAGTTCCAGCAGCTATGTGGCAAGTAGCAAGGCGGCATAAATGAACCACTACTCTTAATACAAGCGAAAATGTTCCCAGAAGGCTGGATGATCGCCGTACACGGGGGAATTTGCATTACTACAGCTTTACTTAACTTTAAAATGCATAACGGCGACATTTATTAATTAAGTAAAAAGGCATGCAGTAGAATAACACTTAGCCAAACAATTGCCAGCAAGTGTTTCCAGGGTTATTAGATACTTTGTGTGCATAGTGTCATTAGGGTAGGTTGTAACCCATTCTTCCCTGAGTACATCTGTTCATCATAAAACGCAATTTTTGAACAAAATAATAGAAAAAATGTCAAATAATTTGTACCTGTAGCTGCTTCTTCTTTCATTTCTACGCAGACTTCTTGAACTTCAATTTCCGGTTCGCGTTTCACATTTTTCTTGAGAATTCCTCGTGGTATATTTACAAACCTCTTGTCGGTTTCTATAACGTACCCGTCTTCAGTTAAATACGAACTTTTCTTGTTTCCTCTAAGAGGATGCAAAAGAAAAGCATTAGTGACTTTAGTGCTGCAAATAGTGAGAGTAACGCCTGATATTAAACATCTCCTCCCCCCTCCACCACCATACGAGAAATATTTCACAATGGTTATCAAGTAAGTAGGAAAGTGGAGTTAGGATTTCATCCCTCTTCGAAGCCATGTTCACAAAGCCGTTGGCTTTCGCACGACCACCCTGAAGCCGTTTCACACAAACGCCTTGCCCTCTTGCCGTCACAGAAATTTATTTGCCTTGTCAAAGTCAGTAATTCATAACCTTTCATTCTTTCTTTCTTTCTTTTTTTTTTTCTGAAACAGGATGTGGCATTTGTATTTGCAAACCTATTGTGTGCAAAGTGACCCTTACCTCAACAGGAATTCGCAGTGTTCGAGCAGATCAATACTGAGCACTGCCTAATAAGTTAAAATGTAATGCTAAGCTGCGTACAAAAAACAAGGCATTTAATGTATCACCCTGCGAAAGTTATGTTTTATAAATTGTATTTTTGTAATTGTTTACCTGATGCAAAACAAATTGCGGCACCAACAACAGCAACACGTCAAGAGAAGAATAATCGTCAAGGTTCCAGCTAGTGCCATGAAAGTAATCACTGCAAGGTGCATTTGAAATAATTTATATGTTAAAAGGTACAAAATAATGAGCTTTTAACTGCATGCAGTCTTAATCTAACTAAGGTTCTATAAAAACAAAGGCTACTTATAGAAAAAAGAAATATGTAAAAATCAATCCCAGGACCATAACCATGTTTACATACTCTCATGCAGACACTCCTCTCGGCCAATCAGAGGGCACTTACTGTCTTAGTTATTTTATAAAAGGATATAAATTAAAGGCTGCATGTTCTCAAAAGAGCACAATACAATTCTGAATATTATCAACCTATGATCAAAATGCTGCACTTACAAAGTCCACCCCACGGCTCACTTTCGTCGATTCTTTTCGGCTCGGGTTCTCTAAAGTCTTTAAAGAGAGAAGTAATCAAGCCACAGCAATCTTTGTTAGAGCAATACCTTTTATGTAACACTCAAAAGTACATATGTAGCTTGCGAAATCAATCAAAAGTGATCAAGAACATCGGGGTATAATAGATTAAATAGTTCTATTTGATCAGCAAGCAAACTTGTTTTCTGTTAAAAAAACAATTTACCTCAAACATAAAAGCGTCTGACGACACAGAGGAAGCAAAGACAAAACTCTAACGATGATCACAATCTTGCCTAGCCAAGTTTCTCCAGTCTTATCGCTCCTAAACTAAATATAGTACTGGTACGGTACTCACCTTGCACACATCCAAAGACGGATACTTGCATACAGGGATGCTCTTCAAATGATACTGGGTGAAAACGAATGTACTGAAATTGGCTTGATGTATTAAGATGGTTGAAACGAAGAGAAAATGAATTGACATTGCCAGAGAATTCCTGAAATAGAAAAGAAATAATACCACTCTCGTCTAAGTTAGGATAGGAAATGTGAGGCCCTCTCTTGGTGAGGGGGAAAACGTATGTCCCTTGTCTGAATTTCAAGTGCAGTCGTTTCGTGTTTTGTGGAGTACATCATGTCCCTGTAGGTATTAAACCCATAATTATGTAATTTACCGTAAAATTCCGAAAATAAGCCCCTCCATGTACAAGCCCCTCCAAATACAAGCTCCCCAAACCGGTAACGCAAAAAAACCCTCCGTTAAATAGCCCATCCAAATATAAGACCCCCCCCCCCGGGGGGGGCTTGTACTTGGAAAATTCCCCTCAAATACAAAGTAAAACAAAGCAAAAACGGTAAATTCACTTCCAACTATCAGGCTAGCCCAATCGGTTTTGAAACGCAAATTTCCCTCCATAGATAAGCCCCTCCGAATATAAGCCCCTCCAAAAATAAGCCCCTCAAAAAGGGCCTTTGAAAAATATAAGCTCCGGGGCTTATTTTCGGAATTTTACGGTATGTCCAGTCATCCATATTTTTTTTTCAAGACCATGTCACTTGTCAGAATTTTACTCTAACATGGTCCGATCAAATTCAATAACCCATTTTTGGTAAATCTTACTCTTGAACAAACAATGAATAAACAGCTATCTTGCATCCGCCATATTGGAATTCCTGGGTTAACTGGTTGAATGAACTGAGGACTAGGAGGCGAAATAAAGAGTAAACTTACCTTTTCTTTTCCACCTTCCATGTAATGTGTAAAGGTGGAACCATTCGTGCTGAGCGAGATCAAATACCTTGTCACCCACCCCTTAGCGCCAACCTCATCTTGACCTTTAGTGGCAACACGAAAAACATCAACTGGCCTTTCTGTAATTAAAAAAAAAAAAAAAACATATATATTTGATAGCCCTCACGAAGGTAAGTAAAGTCACTATAAAGGAATGTCAATACCAAACCTGACAACCTCTGAGTTATTACAGGCGCGTTGCTCGTAATACGATGGACTGAAGCAGTGACCAGCCGCTCTCTATTGTAGAACCGGAGTAAATTATCATATTCTGTAATGAAGGTATGCTCAGTTTTGGCATGAAAAAATATTTTCGATATATTCTTTCGGATAGCTCGCTCGAAGATGTTTCGTCACTGATAGATTGATTGATTGGTTGTCAATTTACTTTTTGATGCCAGATGTGGATGGATGGGCTGATTCATTCATTAATTTCTTCATGCATTCATTTATTTTATATCATATCCTACCTAAATTAACCTGGAGATATCCATTAACGTCTTCTTGATCGCGGCACCAAGCTTTAGGAGACGCTTCGGGGTGTGATGCGTTCAGTCGCGCAAATGGAGCTTGTTGTGCTGCGCTGGAGGCCGCATAGCTTGATTCCTTGAGCGGACCTATCTCCCCACATCCTGAAGAAACAAGGGCAAGCATTACTGAATGTGACAAAAGTAAAAGGACGGGCATTAAGCCTTATGCATATTGAACATTCTAAAAAGGAACCAACAATCTTCTCCTCCGATTTATCGAAATGAATCATGATTGGGTGGTTATCGCCGCAAATAATTTTCATTAAATTTGCAAATACAGTATAACCTAAAGTATGAAAATTTGATTTACCTGGGCAATGGCGAACAAGACAAAATTCTGAACTTTCTTCCTTGCCGTCACAAGTGTTTCCTCCATTGGCCGGGGCGGGATTGTTACACAGTCGTAAACGGTTCCTCATCCCGTTGCCACATGTTTTGGTACAAGGAGACCACGTTTCCCAGGAGGACCACTTTCCATCAACTAGAGACAATGGAGAACAACTGAACATACATACTCAAACTGACAAAAGAACTAAATCGAAGCTAATATCCTTAGTGAAGAGAGAATTGGTAACTGAGAATGCAAATGAAGCATTGCATCATAGATAGTCTGACATGTCTTCCGTCTCTACCCCCTAAGAAAATGAGATTTAACTGGACAATTGCGGACCAAACAATCTTTTTCCTTCTCCTTCGCAATATTTTCCTTCGTGGGCAGGAGTGCGATTATTACACAATCGTACCCGAATCCTCGACCCGTTGCCACATGTTTTGCTACAGGTAAGACCAACTTTCCCAGGCAGACCAATTTCCATCAAATAGAGACAACGGACTGAAGAACTAAACATACATGCTCGTGACAAAACGACAACTAAAAGAAAACTAATATCCTTTGAGAGATCGATAGAAATGCCTAAAGAGAATGAAGCATTACTGATCTTTCAAATAATATCTCAACACAAGAAAATTAAATTTACCTGGACAATGGCGGACCAAACAAACTTCTGAATTATTTCCTTCTCCTGCACAATCTTTTCCTTCGTGGGCCGGAGCGGGATTGTTACACAATCGTACACGTGTCCTCGTCCCGTTATCACACGTTTTGCTACAGGTAGACCAAGTTTCCCAGGCGGACCAATTTCCATCAACTAGAGACAATGGAGAGGAGGAGGAGGAAGAAGAATAAGAAGTTACAACAACAAGCTTAAAAAAACGTTCCCTGTTGTTGTCACAATGTTTCCCGTGTAAATCATAATCCCCAAATAATGACTATTTTCCCATGAAAACGAACTGCACATCCAGTGTAGTTGACTGACCCACCCCCGGCCGAGAGCGAAAAATTTGACCTCGGACCCAAGCCCTGTGTCGAGCGTATTATCACGAGGACCAGACAGTAGCGTTCGCCGAAAGAAGGTGTTTTGGAACATGGAGTGAGAAAATGTTCATATCCAGCGACATGCGTAGGATACTTGGCGAAGAAACATTTACCAAGTTGTGGCGATGATGGAAATTTACCTCTGGTCGAAAAAAAAGAAGTGATTAGATGAGTTTTCGGGCTGCAAACCTTCTTCGAGTAGACAACGTGGAGTTACAGAGGTCACAAAATGGAGCTAAAGAGTCGACTAAACTGATAATTCCAGACCAAAACACACAGGAATTCATCAAAGGTAAGCCTTCTTTAGTTTTGTATCATTGAAGAGAAGGAAAAATATAATGATATTTAGTGTTCGCAGAGCTCAGTGTATTATTGCTCATAAAGTCACCCGTAACGCAATACCTACTCGCTCGTGTCACAGAATGTAATTTACATTCCACCCTCGTAACTGTGAGTTTGCTGAGTTTGGGAAGCTTGTGGTTTACGCTGGGCACATTATAAGGGAAATTTAACCCCAGATGGTGAAAAATTGGTAAGGGAAAGGTCCTGAAGTCGCCTTTCTGTGATAAAACCACTATTAATGCATCAGTCAACAGTCATTTCCAGCTGAGCCCAGACCCCCCCCACTGACCCCCGGGATTTATCATTTTTTTTGCCTTGGATGGCCAATTCCCGGGGGTGGGGACTCTTGAGCTGTCAAATCTCCGGGGATGGGGACAAAAAAAGAGGGCAAATGTCCCATCCTCCGTCATCACTGCAACTCATTTTTCTTGATCGCACAATCGAGGAGTGACAGTTTAAGCATTTTAATGGATAATTTTTTGTTTTAATTAACATCTTCCTTTGTAATAGTGCTATTCTAATTAAGACGTCATGCTGTGACGACACCAGTTTATGGTTTTAGTATGGTTATAAAATTATTAACATTAAAATTAATAATGCACTGTAAAGTTAACTGCTATGAATAGTTTTTGAAATATGAAAGGATTTTCTTCAAATAATATCAAGAGAAACTTGATTCAATAACCAAAAAAACATTGATTCATGTCGATAGCTTCCGAGTTTTGCTATGCAATTCTGGCTTGATAAGCAATGAAGAAATGCATGCATGAAATCGAGAACATGCCTTTACAAACCTCTTCAATTTTTTGCCGTCCTTGACAAATGAGCCAATCTGCTTGTTTTTCCAGTAAAATCCTCTGTGTAGTTATATTCTGATAGGAAACATGCGTGCGTGTCAGAAGCTCGGGGTTGGTCCAGGGGTTGGCAAATGCCCGGCCCCCTGGCAGCGCAAATATTGCAAATGCCCCACACCTGGGACTGACAAGGCGGGCAAATGCCCCACAGTAGCCTGAAGGAGGGGGGAGGCTGGGGGGTCTGGGCGCAGCTGGAATTGACTGATGCATAAATTAAAAGCTGAGAACTTTCTTACTCAGATGCAATCCACATATAAATATATTACAAAAAATGACTAATACGGGAAGGCATATGTAGTAACTTAAATACCGTAACCCATACGTGCAACTATGATGCCAAAATTAATTGAAACAACAACAACAACAACAAAACAGAAAACAACCCCCAAAAAAGATGAAAGAAATGGGTCAATGAGTTGGGCTAAGTGAGCAAAAACCTATTTTTGGTAAAACCAATCACCTACATGGCTGCCTTTTTAGCTGCTTCAATAACTGCTGTTCTCTGAGTTGTAAAATAATATGATTAAAACAACGTTTGCATCTCTACTTATTATTTTTATTTATTTATTTTTATTTTGAAGCAGCTGAATCAGACTCACTTGGACAATGATCTTTGAAGCATGATCCCGTGTCACTTGAGTCACCTTTACAAGGTGCGCCATCATGAGCTGGAGTGGGATTGTTACAAGAACGCTTACGGCTTCTTGTTCCATTGCCACAGGTCTCGCTACAGGGTGACCATGCTCCCCAGTCAGACCACATTCCATCAACTGAGGTACATGTAAAAATAGATTTTTAATTATTATTGCTGTTATGAACAACATGAAATAACATATTACAAGGATTAATTTAATTACTCTCAGTTAATTTTCATGAAGAAAATGGTTAGAGCTTTTGAGGAAAATATGTGTAGTTAACTGGTGTAAGAACCTACGACTTTGGGATTCAGGCTGACCCAGGTCTTATTTACTGGAAAATCAGCCTGAAAATGTTCTTAATATACATCAAACATTACTAGAGGTTTGATTAACAAACATTTTTTTTTTATTTCTTACTGTAACTTACCATTACATACTGCTGCTTACTGTACGGCTCTTAGATTTTACATGGTGCAGCACAGCCTAGTTCTTTAATATGAATTACTGCATTGGCTTCTTACTCTGGAATCAGCCTCTCTCTTTTTATATAAGAACATGTTTTATTTATCAGGCTGAATTGGTTCTTGTATAGGTGTATGGTCCTTTATTTGCCCACTTTCAGTCTTAAGTTAGTAATGCATTTGTTCTTATATGTGGGTGTTTACCGTTTGTGCATTGTGGAACAAAAAGGAACACTTGTTACATGACGTTCTTGCACAATAAGATCCAATTCCTATTAAAATTTACTTACCTGGACATACTGAGGCACACACTTGCTCCATATGCTTAATATCTCTGCAATCCTTGCCGCCAAATGCAGCAGCTGGGTTTGTACACGTTCTTTGACGACTCCTTGTCAAGAAACATGGATTACTTCCTACAGTGCAGTTGCTCCAGAAAGACCACTCTGTCAGTTGGCCGTCCACTGGCTGAGGCTCTAGAAATAATGTAAAGAGTTTATTAAAAGGAGAAAACATCCATGAATGAATGAATGTATGCATACATGCATGACATGAATGCATGCATTCATGCATGCATGCATGTCATGCATTAATATGCATGACATGCATACATGCATGCATGCATGAATGAATGAATGAATCACGTTTATTTCAATACGGTAGTTTTGATATTAAGTAACAAAAGACTTGTTTCCATGAAAGCCGTATTCAAATACACACTATATGAAAGGTGCATTGGTGTGACCATTATAGCAAAAATTATACTAACAAATCACTACTCATTTGGTATTTAAAATACTTAGAATTCGAATTAAAAAGGCAATAACAGGGACGATTTGACATCCACCGATGGGTTCCTTTTTAAAATGCTCTTAGATTTAGCTGATCTCAAGTTCCCAGGCAGAGAGTTCCACATTTGTGTTCACCTGTACGAAATCGAACCTCTGTGGTATTCCGTTTTTGGAAAAAGATTGAACCATAACACCTGCTCTGCATTATAATGAAAACAAAGTCTGTAAGCGAAAAGTAAAGGGGAAAATTAAGGTTACATAAAGGAGAGGATAGGTACTTGACGCAACCGCTTTTTTTGCAAGTGCCTGCTCTCCCATTGGTTACTTTTAAGTCACTTGCCGATAAAGCTGTTTCCCGCCAAAGTCTCTGAACGGGCAGCATTGCAAGTTCTACACCAGACTATTGTTCTGCACGATAATATGGTGTTACATGTATATCTATGTTCTGGTACTTGTTTGAAGCTGAATTTGCTCCTCCTTTGACAAAGCGCGCAGACGGTCGCGACCGTCGTTTGCCTACATAGGTTACTTAAATGAGTATAATTTTACCCGAGAATGATTTTGAGATCAATAATTTACCGTTCTGACAGCTCCTAATATCAATACGCATGCAAAGATGATTGCCAGGCAAAGGTTCCCTCGGATTAAACATAACCCAACGTGCTGGCACAGGGATGGTGAGGTTGGTGTCAACAACTTCATCTCCATCAAATGAAGGACCTAAAAAATCCTGCCAAAGATAAAGGTCGGTTAATTTATAGGATCCGGCTCAAGGGTTGCTTTCGCACAGTTCAGTTTGTGAGAGAAAACTTTCACTATGTAATAAATACTAAATAAATCACTGTTCTAGTCAAGACATTTTTTATTTATTTATTTTTTTTATACCCAAACGTTTTTGAATTAAAATTATGCAGTCGAAAATTCACGTGACCCGCGAGTAGCAGACGTAAAAAAGGGGATGGGGGAGGAGGATTCCGGGTGCCTGAGAGCGCAAGGGGCAAAAATTCACGCTGTATATAACTTCTTTGAGTTGTTTTGTTTTCTAGTTACCTTGCGTGCTCCCTGTTCTTGAACTTCGATAAAAGTGTTATTATCAGTGCTGGTCTTCAGGTAATACAGAGGTACTGATCTGTTAGAGTCGCGCATTCCCTGAACAAGCACTTGATCAAATAAGAGGTTTAAGCCTTCAAAAATAGAAAAAAATAAGTCACTGAGTAATACAGCCACAAACGAGACCACCTTAAAAAACATCGTACACATTTCTCCCAAGATCATAACGCTTTGATGGTAATCTAGCCTCCCGAATACGTGTTCGATTTATTATGCTTTTCGCAGGCAAAGTCAAGCGTGTCAATAGAGAGTCACACGAAAGGCGTCCTTCCAAAAGAAATTTTATTTCCCACCACCAACTGACCACTGCAAAAAAACACGACATGTGAGACTTAAGATATCCTTCAAGAGGTACATGTAGCAATTAGCTGGCTTGTTTTGTCGTGAACATTTTACCGCGGGTTTTTATTTCAGATAAATTGTCAAATGCAATTATGATTAGGGACTATCCGATGAGAGCTGTTCCGTCAGCCTGTACGGCGTATATCCTTGTTTTCTAAGTGCTTAAAAGGACCAGACGTAAAATAATACTCCGTACGCTCCTAGCTGAGATCCACAGGACCTGATGAAGCGTACTTGTACTTGGCGCAGACATACACCTCTTAAAGGATAATGACCTACAAAATGGTTTGAGTGTTATTCCATTCAGTCGAAAAGTAATGAAAGTTTTCAGATCTCCATAAAACTAATTTATAACAAAATTGAAACCTGTTAGCAAAAGATGGCGATTAAGTACAAAATGGTTTGAGCGTTATTCCATTTAATCGAAAAGTGATGAAAGTTTTCAGATCTCCATAAAGCTAATTTGTAACAAAATTGAAACGTATTAGTAAAATATGGCGATTAAGTACAAAATGGTTTGAGCGTTATTCCATTCAATCGAAAAGTAATGAAAGTTTTCAGATCTCCATAAAGCTAATTTATAACAAAATTGAAACCTATTAGCAAAAGATGGCGATGAAGTGCTCTGATTTATTACCTAAATCTACTGTAAGAAATTGTTGTCTGTCTACGACTCCGGCACACCAAACGTCGTTGCCATGTAGCACAGGATACCCAGGCCCAAGGGAAGTTGACGATGCAGTAAACTTCACATTTCCGTTGTTGTGAATAACAGAAGTACAGGCTTAAAATGGAATGAAACAAATCTGTGTCAATTATAATAACAGAGGCTAAGCAGGCAAAAAGTAAATAAAAATAAAAATCCTTACAGCGTGCACATGCTCTTGCCTATCACCCCGGCATGCATGACTTTTATCTTATTTTCAAGTCAAATATCGATACCTTTGATTTTTGAGAGTTTCTTACATACAATAAGCCACAAAGCCAAATAATATTATGCGGTTTAACAGAAGAGCATTCCAGTCGTTCCAAACATTAAAGCTTGTAAGTTTAATAAAATTCCGTTGGGCAAATCTGCGCTAAACTTTGGCATTCTCTTCCTTAAATTTTTTTATGGTTTCGTCGGGAGCAAGCAAGGCAAACTTTTAACAACTTCAAAATAATTCATTCGTCATTGTAAATAAAAATATATGCTTGCAAAACACTCATTCAAATAAAAAAATTCAAACAATATCATTACTACACAAGTAGAATATAGTATGTTGTTTTCTTGTTATTATTATTGTTATCATGATGGTGACTATTATTTACTTTGAAGTAATCGCAGAAAGTAGAACATTTATTATTGTAGGACTTGTTTTTAAGTGTGTGTTCAGAGTCATCGACAGTGTGTATTGACAACACTCTCTTCTTACACTGTTCTGTAACACAAAATGGTAATGCGGAAACATCTGAATAATACAGTCCACAAGAGTCTATCAGATGAGACGCAAAAATATATTGAGTTAAGAAGAAATAAATGTAGGAATACATCAGTTGTGTCACGGAAAAACTACACAATCTGAAGTGAAAGACTTTGGACACATCTGATTCGTTTTTCATTTTACGTTATATATTTATTTATTATCATTCATATTAATTATTACTATTTTATTCTGAGACTCAGGGTTGGGATAGGAGGGGAGCAGTTAATCACGTCTGAAAATCGTTGCAGGGTTTACAATAACATGAAAGTACCTATGACAGGGCACATACAATGCACTTACAGGTCTAATTTCAGAGGAATTTGAATTCCCTACTTCTGAGAATAGACGAAGTGCCAAATATTCTTGCCGCCCTCTCTGCAAATTTTTATTTTGCCTCGTGAATATTTTACCCCTCGTGGACATTCTACCTCGAATAGCAGCAGCGACTTTATTAGTTTGCTAAAATCGATAATTAACTGGGTGACTTAAAGGACGTTTAATGAATCCTATGAAATTTAATCTCTATAATTTTATGATGATTGTGATGATGATGATGATGATGATGAACATACACTTAACATTATTTGAGGTTACTTCTGTTCAGTCTATAGTTACCTCCCTAGGTAAATTTGAGTGCAGACGCGATACTAGAAAACTCATGCGATCATGCTTTAATCTCGCAAGACCTGTTTTTAACTCTCACGGGCAGACGGTCTTTGTGTTATATAAATTGTCCTTTCAGATTTTATTCAAAACAAAGCACGCTTTTGTTAAAGGAAGTAGTAAGGCACTTAAAATGACTTTCTTCCATGATCCACTTGCTTACCGCTGACATCAGTTGGAGTTTTGTGGTTTACGTGGCCCACGTAAATTTACTGATTACCCTTTCCTTCTATAACCACAAAACTGATACATGTAACTTTTTAAAAAGACGCGAGAGGAAGCTCGTTAAAAATTATTTCATTTTACAATACTTAAAAACTTTCTTGTGCTTTCATAAGTTGAGAGTTTGGACCATGGAAATGACATCAAGATAGCAAAATTTGTTTTCCGCTGTCTCTCGCACGCGCTGTTAAAGGAAATTTCGCCGGAAATGGACGCAGAAACTTATCATGTTATTTTTATAAAAACAGGAATGCAACATTTCCGTATAATTGAAATGAAATGACGTCAAAATACTCATATCTTTGCAGTGAAACCTCTCGCCTGTGGCTCTTAGTTCTAAATGAGTTTTCGTTGTTGTTGTTGTAAACAAGAGATTAAAGGGAATGGAGATTTTTTTCTACTGGTGAGACAATTCTCTACCTTAAAACCTCTAACGTTTTAACCCTTGAGAGTGACCAGAGTCTAATTTGTCCCTAATTAATAATTAACGCTGCTTTATCAAAAGACCTCGATTGCTAAAAATACTTTTCATAAGTTTTTCACAATGTTTATGCTGATGTTGGTTTTTAAACGGTTAAAAAACTTCGTTGACTTCAAAATGACTCCTTAAAAGAATTATATTCTACCTCAAGCTTGTCTCATAGCAGAGTAAACAAATTGACCTGTGACTGCAGAAATACTTCAAAGAGTGTTTTTAAAATTTGTCCTTAGAGTAACACCTCTTAATCAGAAGATATTGATTGCCAACATCGCCTTATCAGTTGCATAAAACATACATGTACAAGGATAATTTGTACGCTTATATTAGTGTTTCACATTTTACGTCTAGCTTATCTCACAACCAAGTCAACAATGTGAAGAGCTGACGGCAAAATTTCGACGAAAAAAATGGTTTAATTGAATTTATTATGTATTTGTTAATTAAATTGTTTACGGCTGTGCGTGCATGGTAATTTAAATGGCGTATTTCAGATGAAAGACAAAATAACAATTACAGTTAACAAAACTTGATATTATTGGCAGTTGCAACTGGTAATTGTAGGAAACTATGAATACAGGGCGTTAACAGGTAGCGAATTTTTAAAGAAAGTTACCTGAAAAAGTTCTTCCGGTTGTAGCCAGTACAACAAACAGTACAAAAGGTAACTGCCGTTTCCCAGCTGGTAAGGGCATCTTGATATCACTGATATTCCGTTTTTTTCGAAGCAATTTATATCGGGTGTTCTCTCATTACTTCTCGTGTAATCTAATTTTGGTTTTATGAGCACAACACGCTTATACTCATCTTTAAAGCGAACTTGTGGTTGTCTTGATGACGTCAAATCAGTGACGTCAGCTGCACCGTATATTGGGGTCTGATATTATGTGATTGCTTGGTCAAAAACGTGCTGGTAGATTTTGAAGCTTTTGGTTTGCGCTATTTGAAGCCTGTGGGAAGTAAACAGGACAATAGTTTTCCTGTATTTTTAAAAAGCTAAGCCGTGAAAAAAGAGATTAGTTTCCTTTTTCACTAAGGTGGTGCTACGGTGGGGAATGAATCACAAAAATGTGGTCTAGAAAGGGTTAAGGCCTCAAATGTCAGCCTTTAAACCTCAGCTTTACTTCTTTAGATTATAAAGAACACAGAAAAAAAGTAAGATAATAAAAACCAATTGTTAATGTGTTTCACTCCCTAGGGATCAATCAGCTACGTTTCTAACCCCTAGACCAATTTAAGTCCATAACAAAGACCGGATTAAAAAAAAAAAAGAAAAAAAGACGGATGACTAGAATAATTGGAGGGGAATGTACAGTCCAACATTGATAACAATGCCCTGCTGGTACAAATGTTCATGCAGACAAAATAGGTAGCGGAAGCAAATTATTTATTACTTGTATCTTTTACTTTATTTAAACGTTGATTACATTGTTATTCATACTGTACGCATGAAATGAAAATGGACGAGGCAGGTCGGTCGAGCGACCGACGACAGATGAACATGAAGATGTTCACCTAGACACCTCGCTTTTACGATCACCTTGATGGTGTGGACACAGCTAAATCCCCCATGATGGTGGGGTACTTCCGTATAGTGGCCTATACCGGGAGGCTTCAGGTATACCAAAAAGTAGGGAAATCTGTCATTTCGGTCTGTAAAAAAGCCCAAACGGTTTTACTGGTGCATTTTATGGCTTTGAAAGAGTCGTGAAGACTTTCTGGTTTTGTGATGCATTCTTAGTTCAAAGACGGTGCATGTACAGCAGTTGAAAGGGATATAGTGTTTTTTAACCCTTTCACTGCCAGAGTATTTGATGGAGTTTTGTAAGGTGGCTCTAACATTTGAATCTGTGGACGAAATCCTATGATGTGACCATTCAAATGAAAGCTCTCTGCCTGTACTTACACACTGTACTATTTGTTTTTCAAAATGTTGCAAAACGAAATTTGGAAATCTGGTCGAAATTTGTCTTTGGCTACATTTGGCAATGAAAGGGTTAACTTGATATGTGAAAGGGGTACCGTTTGTCAATAGAAAGTATATACCAAAGGGGTAACTTTTCTGTCATAAATGGTATATAAAAGGGTAAGGGGTCGGACCTCGGGGCGGGGCCTCCCCGTATAAGACTTTGTAGAGTACCCCGCCACCCAGGTAAAAATCAATACCCGACTTTCGGCTGAAACAAATTAAATGCATCCGCAATTGAGAGAGTGGTAACAAAAATTACCATTAAATCAAAATGCACACAGAAAAATTAAAATTACAACAAATGAATTAAGAGAGATGAAAGATGATGGTGAACGAACACCAGTACATGCACAAGAAGAGCAAACGTTTGGAGCAGGTTTGAAGTGATGACCATTTTTAATGAAATAAGCTATTTACATCAAAAACCTGTTGTCATAACTACAATCATTATCTTTTTTCAACCTATCAACGTTACTGTCCTCATCAATACTATAATAATTATTACTTTAAAAAACATCATTTTCCTTGATATCTATGTTTTAAGTCAAGAGACATACAACCTTCCCGGGTTTAAGCACGCTTTACCTCGAACAGAAAGGCATATTTACTACTTCCATTTTCACTCGCAAGAGAACATGAAATTAGCATGCTGGACCGGTTAATCACGACTTATTTACAGCTAGAATGCCCAATCATGTTTTCTATCCAAGACTCAAATTTAATTTTCATCCTCGAAGGGCAGGGATACTAAATAATACGTAGCTTTGCGCTGGTTATGCTTTGTCTATGTTGCCACAGTTTTTCTTCCAAAAGACCTTAGCCAGCGTATCCAGTGTTTTAAGGGGAAGGAAAAGAAGAAATAAGCTGCGCAAAAACCGAAGGGGAGCGTGTGCGTTTTCCCAAGCCTTATTAAGCCTCTTCCTTTTCCCTTCAAGCGCCAAGCACGCAGGTTAAAGAGACCTTAGTCGAAATTATTTCATCCCACTCAGCTTGAGATTTTAGATCCAACTACGGAATAGATTGAATGGGATTCTACTTCGGTGTTAATCGGTTCGGCCGTAAGTATTTGTGTTCCAACTTCTGAGTAGACCGGGTCAATTCTATCACTGGATTGAGTGGGCTGCGCATCTTTTCCAGTGGGATTAAACCACTCTTCCAGGACTTCCATGCTCTGGTCTCCACTTTCCGCCACGGGCTCTTCGTTTTCCCCGAACTGATTGGAATCGTTCTGAGTAGCAGGGCTCTCATTTGTATCCACCGCATTGTTCATGTTCACAAATTCCCTGTTGGTCTCTTGCATCCTCGTATAACCATCAGGAACTGTATCCGCGCTTTGATCCGAGCCACGACGCCCTTCGAACATTTCATAATCCACGATTGCAAAGTCGTCCAAACATCGGAAGCTGTTGACACTGTCATTATCTGTCGAATTCTCGAATGGATCCGACAGCCATTCAGGGGAGCTAATGGATAGAGAGAAACAACAACAAAAGAATTTGGCTTTTTGCAGTTCTCTCAGCGATATATTGGCGTGGAAATAGTCTTGGAAGAGAAAGGATAGACATGGATAAATGTGGGGGTTCTGTTGGTAACATTGTGCGAGGCGTGATGGCTTCATAATGAGTGCACCGGAACCTTAGTTGAGTTCAATGTGTTTTTCCTTGGGGTAGACACTCTAAAATTTCCTCACTCTACTCAGGTGTATTATGGAAAATGACGTATTTAATGCCACGGATACCCTGCTTTTCGTCGTAGAGATAGAAATATTCTTAAATCTTCGGCCATGGAAAGCGGATAAGCAGTCTCTGGCTTGATGGGCCACTAAGCACGAACGCAGACTTTTTTTTCGCGTTTTTCAACTGTATGTTCACTAATTTACTGATGGAGTTCATTTAACGGTAAAGAAATAAGCAGGAATATGAAATGTTATAAAAGCTGCAGTAGACACTAGGTTGCACTGCATGGTACTACCTTTGAAAGAAAAAAAAAAGGGAGGCAAACAAGCATTTCCTTAATTTGAAAAGCTTTCAGGAGGTTTGTAAATTTTCTTTATGTTTTGGTTGCCATTGCACCTTTCGCCTACAAAGTTAAAAAAAAATGTCAAAAATATCAGTCTTCACAGCTAGTTGAGAAAAAAATTGCAAACCTTTCATGACGTCCATTTGATAAACGCGAGCCTAGTTTTCTTCGAATTTTGAAAAAACCTCTTTGGTCGTTCTTGGGTTTTTTTCTAACGACGTTCAAGTTAGCATATCGTGGTTCTGGGTTCTCCATCTTAAGTGTACTGGCGTTGCTGTTAACTTGCGCGACTTCTTCCGAATACAATGGTGGTTCGGGATGAACTGAGTCAGCGGTAACCTCATTTTCCATCGACTGATCTGCCACAATGCCAAATTGAATGACTCCTGCAAAGGGTGAATTAATAAATATAATCACTAAAACTGGTATTTTGGTACTTAGAAAAAAAATGGAAATTTTTAGCTGATGTAAAGGGCTATTGACCACCACAGAAAATACCATAATTGTTTTTGTTTGTCACCCCAAAAGTTTGCGTAAGCATTGTTTTCAGTTTCTCTTGGGGCCATTTTAACTTCCAAGAGAAACTGAAGACGATGCTTGTGCAAAATTTTGGGGTTACAAACAAGGAGCATTACGGTATGTTATGGTATTTTCTGTAGTGGTCAATTGGTCAAAACATCAATCCATGATCATTGGATATGTGTATTGACGTCACCTTCAGAAACCAGCGCTTAAACTATCACCGAAGATGGTATCCGAAAAGTGATCACAGCTTACAACTTAACCAGGAAGGCAAGCGAAGCTGAATTAGTGATTCCCATTGTTGTTCTATCTACTAAATCCCTATACCTGTTGGTTTACCAGCCTCCTCTCCAATTTCGACGACAACCTCCTGAACTTCATTTTCGTGTCCGCGGTTTTGTCCCGAGGTTAATTCCGTTGGAACAAATACCCATCTCTCACTCTCTTCGTCTTCAACAAGGAAATTGTGAGTAATCCCTTTTCTCTTCTTCCCTCTGCAAAGAATGTTAGTAGTGAGATTGGAAGGCATTTGAACGTACAGGACACCTCAAGCCTGTACTTCTTTCTTCCTTTCTTTCTTTCTTTCTTTCTTTCTTTCTTTCTTTCTTTCTTTCTTTCTTTCTTTCTTTCTTTCTTTCTTTCTTTCTTTCTTTCTTTCTTTCTTTCTTTCTCTCTTTCTTTCTTTCTTTCTCTCTTTCTCTCTCTCTCTCTCTCTCTTTCTTTCTTTCTTTCTTTCTTTCTTTAGTTAGTTATTTACTTATTTCTTTATGTATTTATAAACTTACAAGTTACTTTGCCAAGAGGCCTGGAACACTCACAGAGCAATCTCCACTACGAGATCCAGTACTTGTACTGTGTCTGATAAAAATGCCTTAATTCCCTACAAAAGTATTAAATAATTTATGCTTGCCGTTTGACATACCTTCCACAGCATACGTGCCAGCAACAGTAATAACAACAGAAAATAAGAAGTAGGGAAGTCAATATCCCTGCCATCACAAAGAGTGCAATCACTGCAAAATAGAATTACACAGAAAACTTTCAGCGTCAGACTTCTAAGCAAATTTCCTCTTTATGGGAATATTTGTAATGTACATTGAGGAAATTCTACAATTATCGCCAGTTTCAAACTTGGTTTGACCATACAGCACCCAAATCAACATGCAGAGAGACTTCGTTTCCGAGGGAAGTGATCAATGTTTCGTCAAGGCTGGGTTTGGGACTTTGAACCAAAAAGCGTTAAAAGCCACTCACAATGTTTTCAAAAAGGCATGCAGTGTAGACTGAAATGTATAAAGACATTGAACAGATGTGCTTGATAAACCTACCTAAACACATCCGGTCCACTTATAGCCGCGATCCAAGGCAATAGGTTTTAGATAGCAAGCCCAGTTAGCTATGCTTAACAATAGGCCATTTTACAGTTGTGGGCTTGGTGTCCTGGCCTTTGAGTGGATGTGAGGCTGAGGGTGACCTTGTTTTGATACAAACCTCCTTCCTTTTCTAATGGAAACATTGCTTAAAAAATACCAGTGAGCATAACAACAACATGACCTAGTAAGGCAAGAAGGGTTGTATCAAAACAAGGTCAACTCCAGCCTCGTTTTCAAGTGTAACTGTAAAATGGGGTTATTGGAAAGATTTGAAGATGTTATGTATACTTACAGATTCCTTTTCCTGTTTCGCCAGTGAGCGCTGCAGGACTATCCACGGGTCCAATGGCTAAGCACATTAAAAAAAAGTAACAATAAAATGAAATAAAAGCCTCAAAGGAATCACTCTAAAATAATTCTTAGGCTGAACAATGCTTTCGAGATAAGCCTCTCGCCGAAACACCCCTGCACACACTTTTTTCCCCTTTAATTCTCCTTGATAGGAAGATCTAACCACTGCTTGCTCAAACCAGTGGTCAAGTGTTCTCCACCACTAAGATAACGCAAGTTTGATTTTTCGTTTCTGTGTTACCTGCCCCGGATGTCATGATTAAAATAATAAAAATTGGTTGCTTGCAACTCGGAAGGTTTCAATATAATTTATGGGTTAATTGAATAGTGAAGCTTAACATGATAGGCGCAAGGGAAAATATTATGTAGAAAGAGGCTTGCAAATACGATTTTCATTCTCAGAATTCCTGGAATTTTGCTGATTGTTACATCAAGTACTCTAAGGAACAAATCGAATTTATCTTACATTCATCCACCTCGAGATCCATAGAGAAATAGTTGAATACATCTCAAGTTTGTTGTTATTGGTTGTTTGGTTTTAATCTTCCGCCAATGGACTCTACGACTACGGCAAATTCGTTAAATCAATAGGGTTGCAGCTTAAGCAGACGTTTTTTTTTTTTTTTAGCTACGTACGTCAAGTGTACTTTGAACATTCTTGGGCAGTGTTTTGGCCTATAACTTCGAGCAAATGTGCTAAAGGTGAAAGCACGCTCACGACACGCTTGCACGACACGCTTGGCGTGCCGTAGATCACGCATATGCGCATATTAAATTGAAAAAACAAAGACGGACACACTTGCCTTTGTTTTGGTAAATTTAACACGCTAGACCTTTTGTTTCTTTGTAGCGTGCCTTATGTCACGGTAATTGTGCGAATTATAGCACTCTTAGCTTGCAATCTGGGTAAGACACGCTGAACACGCTTGAGTTAAGAGACTTACCAATTCATTCAAATTTGGTAGCGCTGGGGCATATTAAAAGGAAAAAGGCCTCACTTTTGGTTGACGTGATTGAAGTGCGTCGCTAAAAAACGTCTTTGCTTAAGCTCCCTACTACTTCGCGTGTTTTACTTAATGAGATTAGGGACGTTACGAAGCTCAACGGCGAAGGCAGCGGCAACGCTAAAAAGAAATTATAGTTTTAGTTAGCAAAACAACAACTCTGCACGTGCATGACGCTTTTTTGTACATTTCTTTGCCGCCCGTCCCTGAACCACTACGACGTAAAATGACCATATTTTACGGCAAGGCGATAAATTCTACCATCTCTATCTGAACTCCGGTGCGGCCCCCTCTCTTCAGCTCCAACATAAATTCCCTTCTTTTAAGTAACTGGGCGAGTTGTGATAATTGCGAAATGATTTAAAAAGATGAGGAGTCTATTTTTCAGCGAGGTTTTCACGGACACCCGCGCCGTTGTCGGATCGTAAGGTCCCTATTATATTTTCGAAAGGGGCTTTGCTCACCTTGGCATGTTTGATTGTTGCATTCTCTGGTTTCATTTATAGATCCTTCACATCCCAGTTTTACATTTATACAAGTACGATTTCGTCTCTGAGTTCCCGTTTGATTAAGTGAAGAACAAGTCTTTGAACATTCGCTCCACTTTCCCCACAATGAAAATCCAGCCGCTGAAATTAATTCATATGTTATTTGATTAAAATGTAACTATATTGCCTTCTTTTTAAATACCAACGCGCTTAAAACTTCTGGCTTTGGTAATTCGCTATTATAATAGGTCAAGCAACATTACAGAGAAGTTCATTTGCTCTTTAAAGTGGAATATTGTAAGGCGTGTAGGCGACGGCTACTCTAACTGGTCTAGCCGGCGACACAATCAATGGTACATAGAGTCGACTTTATGTTGATGATTTGTATCATTCGAAGGCGATTTAGCATCACAAAGCAGAGATTTATTGAATATAATGCTGAAATTTAGTTGTCTTTTTAATTACCTCGAGAGAGACAGCTTGAGAAATGTTAAATAGAAAAACGTTTTGAATATCCCGTAAGACGACATGTGCCTAATATTGACGTACACTGTATTGTTATTAGAAAGGCCTTTCCGATGTAGCTGAAAGTCTCCTAGCTTCTCTGTTAAGATTGAAATCCATTTCTCCATTCTTGGGAAAGACGCGATTTATAATAGTGTCGTTTTACACTTTTCCTTTTGTTAACTCTACTGTGTTTCCCCGGTTGTCTCATACAAACACTTTGGACCAGTTATTTAAACGGAGTTTCGTCTGTGTTTAACAAAACCGCGTTCTAAGCCATTTTCAGTTTGCCCAACACTTTTATCTAAACACTATTCATCGTGAACAATTTCAGTAAAGCATATAGTGTAGACTGGAAAAGCACTTATTTTAAAATTACACAGTAAGAAAGAGATCAGGAGATCATATTTCTTAAACCGCGGCCGAAGGTAGACTTCGGCCCTCTGTCTTGTAAAAGAGATAAGTCGTTTCAGGAGACAAAAAGAAAAGGAAAAGAAAAGAACTTACGTGCAACTCTCGGGTCAATGACTCTCATGATTTCCTCAGCCAATTCATCATCCACTTTGTTGGTTTTGACAATGAGAATGTGTTGTTCTTGCCTCGTGATTATGAGCAAATCAGTGGCATTAACGGATGATCCAATTCCTACACCGACGATGAAAACGCTGTTTTTGACCAAAGAATGGACTACGTTATTGAGTTCTTCTCTACTGCTTACAGTCGCGTCGTCCATGATTACCACGAGTATGCGTCTAGCGTTTGGCCTTACCTCTCGCAACTCGAAAATTCGCTTTGCCTCTTCCAGAGCCTGCTCAAGATCTGGACGTCCATTTCTCTTGCGCAAGCGTATCACTTTGCGAATCAGTTCATCCTGGTCTGGTATGTTTGAAGCAAAGTCAAAACTTGTAGTCGGAATACCACTGCCAAAGACGATAGCACTGTAATGAATTCTGTCGATACCATATCGATTGATGATACTGATTATCGTTCCCCTCATCAAGACGAAGGTTTTTTGGGACTGGACAGAGGTGGCACTTAAAGCAAAAGTCACATCCAGTTCTAGATGAGGGAAAAAAAAACGGTTAAAAACATAATTGTTTGATTTACGTTTTTCCGTCTTTTTATGAATACTCCATTATAACTGGGAGTCTCGAAAAACCGACAGCTACCTAGAGCTGGCGCCTACCTTCCTTCAGTGGTTTTCTTTGGCTCTTTATGATGAAAACACTCCTTAAGGTACGGAAAAACGGGCGACAAAAATCAGAAAAATCATGCAACATTGCTGCAAAACAAGTTGAATAGCGATGTTGCGCGTTTTACCAGCCATATCAAACCTGTCTTGAAACAAATGAGGTTGCTAACAGGTTTGAACATGGGTGGTAAAACGCGCAACATCGCTTTTCAGCTTGTGCAGCAGCAATTTTGCAAAACAAGCTGCACGTTTTTGTTGCCCGTTTTACCAAAGCTTCAGGAAGACAATTAATAGTCCTGTTGGTTTTAATTATTGCACGGACTTGTTTCAGCCATTTTTTTGGTTATAGTAGCAGCCATTGCCTTGTAGTGATTGCGTCTTAGAATGTTTAGTACCTTCACTCGGTTGCGGTAGGTATACTTTGTCGTTCGTGCTGGTGTTTCAACTAACACACCCCGACTTCCTTTGATACAGAGATCACCTTTTCAATGTTATTTTGTGTCATTAAAATAGTACTTTTCGTCCTACATGGTCGCAATTTCTGACAGCAACACGCCAAGTGTCCTAACTTACTAATAAAGTAGACCAAGTAGACAAGTAGACCAATTGCCAGCAACTAGAGGCGAAGTAGTAGAAGATATGTATTAGAAATATTAAAATATTGCACGTGTCGACTTGTAGCTCTTTTAGGAAGACCGAATGAGATAATCAATTATATTTCTTTATCATATATTTCCACACACGAAGTGCCAATTAACTTACCTGGACATTGGCGAACCAAACAGGCTTCTATATTGTTTGCGTCACCTTTGCAAGGTGCTCCACCTTGAGGTGGGGCGGGATTGATGCACAGACGTGTACGACTCCTTGTTCCATTTCCACGCGTTTCACTACAGGCAGACCAAGGACCCCAGGGAGACCAATTCGCTACAAATAAAGGAAAAGAAGCAGAAGAATGAGTTTTGAAAATATAATTTTAGCTAAAATGTTTTAGAAAACGTCTTGCATGTGTCGAATTCTAGTTCCTTGAAAGATACTGAACTGCTAAAAAAGGATTCCGTTACGTATGTTCATCATATATTTACGCACCAGTAGTGGAAATTAGTCTTACCTGGATAATAACGAACCAAACAGACTTCTACATTGTTTGCGTCACCTTTACCAGGTGCTCCACCGTAAGCTGGAGCGGGATTGTTGCACGAGTCACGGGAGCCAATCAAAACGCGCGAAAATTTCGATTCACTGATTTGGTAAATACTAATTAAAACTAGTCGAGGCGGGTAGGTATGATTAAGTTAGGCTTGTCACAACTTTTTTTTTTTGGCGACATGTGCATGCATATTTCTCTGCCTTTCGTTCTTTAGTAGACTCCATTACCAGCTGCTGTTCGGTAAATGAGACCGCGTCTCTCCCCCAAACCGAGCGGAGAGCGGCGCAAATTCACTTATTTCTATGACTCTTTATAAGGCGAATACCACTCGTAGATTAGCACCTAGTGGAATACCATGTAGATGGTTCGAGCACTACCCTTCTTAGAAAGAGTTCACTAATTGCTAATTTTACGTTTATGCCTAAACTGGGCAAGGTCTTGTGAACTGGAATGCGTCACTGCCTTCATGCGCCTCTGTACATCGATAGGTGACCTTGAATATCGCAAAAAAAAAACATGACTAACCGAAAGAGATTTATGTAAACAAAAAGAGATTTGCGTCAGGAAATTGTTCAAAGCTTTAGGGTGTAATCCCTTTGTAGTTGCCGCCATACCAAGATGAACCTAATTAACAGTTATTCGGCCTCGTGGGCTTATTGGCTAAGAGGCCATGAAGGCGAGAGGAATAACTTTTTTAGTAAAATCCAACTAGTTGGTCAAAAATATCGGGGCAAAGCAACTTTATCTAGTTAAAGCTAGACTTTTGCGACCAAAAAGCCGGGGCTTTTCGCTACTAGTGGGCTATAACATATAGCCTAGCATTAGCTCAGCCAATCAAAACACAGCATTGATAATAGACCACTAGTTGGATTTTATTAATAGCTGATAGATTAAGTTTGAGAGTTGCATGATTCTTGGCTAACTTCTTATAAGTTAGGCATGCAATGAGAGTTATAATTCACCATACCTCGTAATGCTTGATATATGATTTCCTCCGCGATGACTACTCTTCTGTCAGTGGTTGGGCTTGGTGTTCCAAGATTATCAACATGGCTGATTGTCACTGAACTAAGTTGATCCACATTTTTGTTTAGGGACAAAAACACAATGCCGTGAGATCTCAGTATATTACTTCCAGTTATAATTTCACTGCCATTTCTGGCGTCTGTGATGGGGACGAATACCCTCCGCGCAAACGGCCTTCCTGTTGATCTGAAAAGATTCTCAGCCTCCCGCAACTTTTCTTGAAGAGGTAATGAAGAAACGTTTGCCAGATTTCTCACGGACGTTATGAGGTCTTTCTGACTGAGAAGTGTGTTGAAAAATTCGCTTAATCGTGTTGTTTTTTTAGTTCCGTACACAATGATGTTGAAGCGGACTCTGAAGTCTCTATACCGCTCGTTTATGGTACTGGATGCTTGGACCATCACATCGTATATGACCGTTGATTCAACGGAGCTAACAGATATGGCAAAGCCAACATCAATCTCTGGGATCTTACCTAAGAATCGGGACAGGAAATGGTGTTAACTTTGTCAACGATAGCAAACCCAAATCGACTTCACACTTGTCAGAATATGAAACGTAAACATTTTGCAGCATTGAGTTACTGCAGTTTACTTTCAGTGAAGTCTCCTGGCTTTCTGCTATTGACAGGGACACCTGTATTGCCGGGGACTTAACCATGGGGACTACAGGGCCCCCAGGCGCAATTCAACTCTAGCGGGAGTTGGCGTAAGTTTCCGGCACACCATAATCACTGAGCTACTGGAAACCCGTGACGAGAAAAGGTTTGACGTAAGAGCATTTCTCTCTTAAACTTCGTGTCATGACATTTAAAGTGTACCCGATTAGTAAAATACTCACATGTCTTTCAATTAACGACAGATAAATTGAGAAATTATATTTTTTTGAGAAGAAAATGATTCTTACGTATTATTCTCTCCCCGATACGTTGGGCCAACGTTAGAGGCAGTATGCTCCTATCAACGGATATAACATCCAGAGGATTAGGCGAGATGACAAGCAATTCCTTCCTATCCACTGCTCCAATCGGCACAGAAATCACCAGAATTCCACTTTCCTCTATAGGTCTCACTGCCTTTTCGAGGCTGTTCTTATCGGCAGAAGAACTTATGTCTGTCATAACAACTAAGGCCTTCCGATTGTTGGATTCGCCCAAAGAGTTATTTTGAAAGACAACAAGAGCTTCTTCTAGAACAGTGATCAAAGGTTCCGACGCACCCACTGCTCGTCGGGCGCGCCTAGCGGCAGCGTTGGACTCGTTTGCACCGAAACTGAGATTGACCACTTTCAACACCCCATCAACGTAGGCAATGACGTAATAGTTCACATATTCATATTCTTCAATGAATTGTTTTGCAGTGGTTTCCATTAGAGCGTACGTTTCGTTTGAAAACTCGGACGAGGCAATGAGTGTAAATACAATGTCGATGTATGTGCGGTTGATTCCTGAAACAACCAATAAAACAGAGTTATTCATAAAAGATTGATAGGAAGACACATATTATTTAGCTTGTTTAGTCACCATTAGTTACGCATTATCAGCAGATGTGTTAATTTTTAACATGCGCTCACATCATGCTTGTGTTTGGGACGTCTGTGGTCATAGTGGCAGTATCTGAGGTTAGTATAGTCATTACCTGTTGGTTGGACAGGTGATGTTGTAGTATCTGGCGACGCTGTGGTGCTTGGGGGCTTAGTCGTTTGAGGAGGTGACGTTGTGGTTTGTGGTAATGTCGTAGTAGGTGGTGATGTCGCTAAAATGAAAAAAAGAAAAGCTCGGTTAGTTGAGTATTGGTGAGGTTAACCACCAGAAATGGTTTCGAAACGGTTAGGTTCTTTTTGTCATCTTCGCAAAAAAGGAAATGTGACAAGAATGAGCAAGTCACATCTTCTAGTCTTTAAGGCGTTTTTTCTACATTTTTGTAGATTGTATAATGCTGCTATATTAGCATAATATAATTGTATAATACAATGTATAATGCTTCTTTGTTAGCAGATGTGTTAATTTTTAACATGCGCTCACATCATCCATGAGTTTGGGACCTCTGTGGTCATAGTGGGGGTATCTGAGGTTAATATAGTCATTACCTGTCGGTTGGACAGATGATATTGTAGTATCTGGCGACGCTGTGGTGCTTAGGGGCTTAGTCGTTTGAGGAGGTGACGTTGTGGTTTGTGGTAATGTCGTAGTAGGTGGCGATGTCGCTTATTAATTTTTAACATGCGTTTACATCATACTTATGTTTGGGACGTCTGTGGTCATAGTGGGGGTATCTGAGGTTAGTATAGTCATTACCTGTCGGTTGGACAGATGATGTTGTAGTATCTGGCGACGCTGTGGTGCTTAGGGGCTTAGTCGTTTCAGGAACTGACGTTGTGGTTTGTGGTAATGTCGTAGTAGGTGGTGATGTCGCTAAAATGGAAAAAAAAGCTCGGTTAGTTGAGTATTAGTCAGGGTAACCACCAGAAATGGTTTCGAAACGGTTAGGTTCTTTTTGTCATCTTCAGAACAAAGGAAATGTGACAAGAATGAGGAAGCGACATCTTCTAGTCTTTAAGGTGTTTTTTGTACATTTTTGTAGATTGTGTAATGCTTCTTTATTAGCAGATGTGTTAATTTTTAACATGCGCTCACATCATCCTTGAGTTTGGGACGTCTGTGGTCATAGTGGCAGTATCTAAGGTTAGTATAGTCATTACCTGTCGGTTGGACAGATGATGTTGTAGTATCTGGCGACGCTGTGGTGCTTGGGGGCTTAGTCGTTTCAGGAGGTGACGTTGTGGTTTGTGGTAATTTCGTAGTAGGTGGTGATGTCGCTAAAATGAAAAAAAAAAAAATCGGTTAGTTGAGTTGGTGAGGTTAACCACCAGAAATGGTTTCGAAACGGTTAGGTTCTTTTTGTCATCTTCACCAAAAAGGGAATGTGACATAAATGAGCAAGCGACATCTTCTAGTCTTTAAGGTGTTTTTTTGTACATTTTTGTAGATTGTATAATACTTCTTGACTAGCCCCAGTTACGCCAGTTTCCTGCATGTGGAGGCAATGATGGAGAAGGATAAGTTTAAAAGGTTTAGAAACGGTTTCAAGGTTTGATTATAGTGGAAAGTACACTTAGCTTATCCAGCTAGTTAACAGGCATTCCACTAAAACACTTGAAAATAATTCAAATACAACGTAACAGGTTTAAAAACCCCAACTGGCAGGAGGCAACCAGTCGCGGCCTATTCTCTGTTTTCTGTCACGTCAACAAAAATAAAAATGCAAACTATTTAGTGCAGAAAATCCAGAATCGGAGAATGAAAGACGATAAATATGCAAAAGTCCTCGCCAAGAAGCAGGTCTGTGCGGTATTTCATATGCGAGATTTTCGGAAAAGGAGACCCCATGTTTGTGTCCCTTTGAGGGGCACAAATATGGCGGCCGGAAACTAACAGAAACATCTGTTTTTGAGTTTTCCTACAAATGCATGAATTCATCGCTTGAGAAACTTATAAAATGTTAAAGTAATCTAGTAGGGTCCATTACCAGCAGCTGTTCGGTAAATGAGACCGCGCCCCTCCCCCGAACCTAGCGGAGAGCGGCGGAAATAGAGCCGGACCAATTTACGTTAGTATAGTCATTACCTGTCGTTTGGACAGATAATGATGTAGTATCTGGCGACGATGTGGTGCTTGGGGGCTTAGTCGTTTCAGGAGGTGACGTTGTGGTTTGTGGTAATGTCGTAGTAGATGGTGATGTCGCTAAAATGAAAAAAAAAAAGCTCGGTTAGTTGAGTATTGGTGAGGTTAACCACCAGAAATGGTTTCGAAACGGTCCAGAATCGGGGATTGAAAGAAGATAAATATGCAAAAATCCTCGCCAGGAAGTAGGTCTGTGCGATATTTCACATGCGAGATATTCGGAAATTGAGACGCCATGTTGGTGTCCCTTTGAGGGGCACAAATATGGCCGCCGGAAATTAACAGAAAGATCTGTTTTTGAGTTTTCCCAGAAATGCGTGAATTCGTCGCTTGAGAAACTTATAGAGATTAAAGTAATTTAGAAGGCTCCATTACCAGCCGCTGTTTGGTAAATGAGACCGCGCCCCTCCCCCGAACCGAGCGGAGAGCGGCGGAAATAGAGCCGGACCAATTTACGTTAGTATAGTCATTACCTGTCGTTTGGACAGATAATGATGTAGTATCTGGCGACGATGTGGTGCTTGGGGGCTTAGTCGTTTCAGGAGGTGACGTTGTGGTTTGTGGTAATGTCGTAGTAGGTGGTGATGTCGCTAAAATGAAACAAAAAAGCTCGGTTAGTTGAGTATTGGTGAGGTTAACGACCAGAAATGGTTTCGAAACGGTCCAGAATCGGGGAATGAAAGAAGATAAATATGCAAAAATCCTGGCCAGGAAGCAGGTCTGTGCGATATTTCATATGCGAGATATTCGGAAATGGAGACGCCATGTTGGTGTCCCTTTGAGGGGCACAAATATGGCCGCCGGAAACCAACAGAAACATCTGTTTTTGAGTTTTCCTACAAATGCGCGAATTCATCGCTTGAGAAACTCATAAAGATTAAAGTAATTTAGTGGGCTCCATTACCAGCAGCTCTTCGGTAACTGAGACCGCGCCCCTCCCCCAAACCAAGCGGAGAGCGGCGGAAATAGAGCTAGATCAATTTAGCTTAGTATAGTCATTACCTGTCGTTTGGACAGATAATGATGTAGTATCTGGCGACGGGGTGGTGCTGGAAGCCTTAATCGTTTCAGAAGGTGACGTTGTGGTTTGTGGTAATGTCGTAGTAGTTGGTGATGTCGCTAAAATGAAGAAAAAAGCTCGGTTAGTTGAGTATCGGTGAGATTAACCACTAGAAATGGTTTCGAAACGGTTAGGTTCTTTTTGTCATCTTCACAAAAAAGGGAATGTGACAACAATGAGCAAGCGACATCTTCTAGTCTTTAAGGTGTATTTTTTGTACATTTTTGTAGATTGTATAATACTTCTTGACTTGCCCCAGTTTGACCAGTTTCCTGCATGTGGAGGCAATGATGGAGAAGGATAAGTTTAAAAGGTTTAAAACGGTTTCAAGGTTTGATTATAGTGGAAAGTACACTTAGCTTATCCAGCTAGTTACCAGGCATTCCACTCAAAGACTTAGTAATAATTCAAATACAACGTAACAGGATTAAAAACCCCAACTGGCAGAAGGCAACCAGTCGCGGCCTATTCTCTGTTTTCTTCCACGTCAACAAAAATAAAAATTCAAACTATTTAATGCAGAAAGACCAGAATCGGGGAATGAAAGAAGATAAATATGCAAAAATCCTGGCCAGGAAGCAGGTCTGTGCGATATTTCATATGCGAGATATTCGGAAATGGAGATGCCATGATGGTGTCCCTTTGAGGGGCACAGATATGGCCGCCGGAAACCAACAGAAACATCTGTTTTTGAGTTTTCCTACAAATGCACGAATTCATCGCTTGAGAAACTCATAAAGATTAAAGTAATTTAGAAGGCTCCATTACCAGCAGCTCTTCGGTAACTGAGACCGCGCCCCTCCCCCAAACCGAGCGGAGAGCGGCGGAAATAGAGCTAGATCAATTTAGCTTAGTATAGTCATTACCTGTCGTTTGGACAGATAATGATGCAGTATCTGGCGACGGGGTGGTGCTGGAAGCCTTAGTCGTTTCAGAAGGTGACGTTGTGGTTTGTGGTAATGTCGTAGTAGTTGGTGATGTCGCTAAAATGAAGAAAAAAGCTCGGTTAGTTGAGTATCGGTGAGATTAACCACTAGAACTGGTTTCGAAACGGTTAGGTTCTTTTTGTCATCTTCACAAAAAAGGGAATGTGACAACAATGAGCAAGCGACATCTTCTAGTCTTTAAGGTGTATTTTTTGTACATTTTTGTAGATTGTATAATACTTCTTGACTTGCCCCAGTTTGACCAGTTTCCTGCATGTGGAGGCAATGATGGAGAAGGATAAGTTTAAAAGGTTTAAAACGGTTTCAAGGTTTGATTATAGTGGAAAGTGCACTTAGCTTATCCAGCTAGTTAACAGGCATTCCACTCAAAGACTTAGTAATAATTCAAATACAACGTAACAGGATTAAAAACCCCAACTGGCAGAAGGCAACCAGTCGCGGCCTATTCTCTGTTTTCTTTCACGTCAACAAAAATAAAAATTCAAACTATTTAATGCAGAAAGACCAGAATCGGGGAATGAAAGAAGATAAATATGCAAAAATCCTGGCCAGGAAGCAGGTCTGTGCGATATTTCATATGCGAGATATTCGGAAATGGAGATGCCATGATGGTGTCCCTTTGAGGGGCACAGATATGGCCTCTGGAAACCAATAGAAACATCTGTTTTTGAGTTTTCCTACAAATGCGTGAATTCATCGCTTGAGAAACTCATGACGATTAAAGTAATTTAGAAGGCTCCAGTACTAGCAGCTGTTCGGTAAATGAGACCGCGCCCCTCCCCCGAACCTAGCGGGGAGCGGCGGAAAAAGAGCCGGATCAATTTAGGTTAGTATAGTCATTACCTGTCGTTTGGACAGATAATGATGTAGTATCTGGCGACGGTGTGGTACTTGGGGCCTTAGTCGTTTCAGAAGGTGACGTTGTGGTTTGTGGTAATGTCGTAGTAGGTGGTGATGTCGCTAAAATGAAGAAAAAAGCTCGATTAGTTGAGTATTGGTGAGGTTAACCACCAGAAATGGTTTCGAAACGATCCAGAATCGGGAAATGAAAAAAGATAAATACGCAAAAATCCTCGCCAAGAAGCAGGTCTGTGCGATATTTCATATGCGAGATATTCGGAAATGGAGACACCATGTTGGTGTTCCTTTGAGGGGCACAAATATGGCCGCCGGAAACCAACAGAAACATCTGTTTTTGAGTTTTCCTACAAATGCGTGAATTCATCGCTTGAGAAACTTATAAAGATTAAAGTAATTTAGTAGGGTCCATTACCAGCAGCTGTTCGGTAAATGAGACCGCGCCCCTCCCCCGAACCTAGCGGAGAGCGGCGGAAATAGAGCCGGACCAATTTAGGTTAGTATAGTGACTACCTGTCGTTTGGACAGATAATGATGTACTATCTGGCGACGGTGTGGTGCTTGGGGACTTAGTCGTTTCAGAAGGTGACGTTGTGGTTTGTGGTAATGTCGTAGTAGGTGGTGATGTCGCTAAAATGAAGAAAAAAGCTCGGTTAGTTGAGTATTGGTGGGGTTAACCACCAGAAATGGTTCCGAAACGATTAGGTTCTTTTTGTCATCTTCAGAGAAAAGGAGATGTTACAAGAATGAGCAAGCGACATCTTCTAGTCTTTAAGGTGTATTTTTTGTACATTTTTGTAGATTGTATAATACTTCTTAACTTGCCCCAGATAGATTAGTTTCCTGCATGTGTTGGCAATGATGGAGAAGGATAAGTTTAAAAGGTTTAAAAACGGTTTTAAGGTTTGATTATAGTGGAAAGTAAACTTAGCTTATCCAACTAGTTAACAGGCATTCCACTCAAACACTTAGAAATAATTCAAATACAACGTAACAGGATTAAAAACCCCAACTGGCAGGAAGCAACCAGTCGCGGCCTATTTTCTGTTTTCTGTCACGTCAACAAAAATAAAAATGCAAACTATTTAATGCAGAAATTCCAGAATCGGGGAATGAAAGAAGATAAATATGCAAAAATCCTGGCCAAGAAGCAGGTCTTTGCGGTATTTCATATGCCAGATATTCGGAAATGGAGACGTGATGTTGGTGTCCGTTCGAGGGCACAAATATGGCCGCCGGAAACCAACAAAAACATCTGTTTTCGAGCTTTCCTACTAATGCGTGAATTCATCGCTTGAGAAACTCATGACGATTAAAGTAATTTAGTAGGTTTCATTAGTAGCCGCTGTTCGGTAATTGAGACCGCGCCCTCCCCTGAACCGAGCGGAGAGCGGCAGAAACAGAGCCGGATCAATTTAGGTTAGTATCTCTACCTGTCGTTTGGACAGATGATGTTGTAGTATCTGGCGACGCTGTGGTGCTTGGGGGCTTAGTCGTTTCAGAAGGTGACGGTGTGGTTTGTGGTAATGTCGTAGTAGGTGGTGATGTCGCTAAAATGAATAAAAAAAAGCTCGGTTAGTTGAGTATTGGTGAGGTTAACCACCAGAAATGGTTTCCAAACGGTTAGGTTCTCATAAAGATTAAAGTAATATTTATTCGGAGACAAGGAATGTTCAGACAGCAAAATCTCAAAAAATCGGTAACGTTGTTATAAACCCCCATAAGAGCTTTCCCGGCCGCGAGATTAATGCCGCCTCACGCAAAGGACCTGGAAATTAAAGCGTCCTCTTTCGGAAAACAATGAACCCTTTCGATTCGAATATTTGATTGAATTAAGGTGTTTAAATGTTGTAATACGTCATGAAAGTAGAAACTCAGAAGAGTCGATAGTTTCTTAGTCTGAATATTGGTGACATCAGGTGAAAACCGAGAACACAAGCATGGCCGAGGTTTTGAACTAGGAACGAGCAAGAGCAAATCCATCGAGTGGCCAGAGCGGGACGCGAATCCGGGATTAACTCCTCTATACATTGTTTTCGAAACAATTGGTAGTTAAAAATCAACTTACTTGGACACGGGCGAACAAAACAGGCATCTGTATTGATTGTGTCACCTTGGCAAGTGGCTCCACCGTGGGCTGGTGCGGGATTGTTACAGGAACGTGTACGAACCCTTGTACCATAGCCACATGTTTCACTGCAAGAAGACCAATCGCTCCAGGTAGACCAATTGCCGGGAACTAGAGACAATGAAATAACAACGTACAAAAAATAAGATTTCCGTACTTTTTGGATGGATTGCAATAACCAAAGTGTCATAATGACTAGGTGTGAAACAGTTTCTTACGTCCTTAAATATCAACAAACCCTACGTATGATTTCAGCTTCCCATCACAGTCCGACACTGACTTTCGCACGGTTGAATCAAACAAACTCAGGCACGACTTTGGGTTTTTACTTTCTTCACTTTTCATTTGTTCTGATAGAAATACTCTTTTAAGTTATATGACGTTTTCTACTACATATATCATAAAAGCAAGGAAATTAGACTTACTTGGACAATGACGGATAAAACAAGTTTCTGTGCAGATTTCGCCACCATAACAAGCTTCTTCACTGCCAGCTGGAATGGGAGTGGTACACTCACGTTTACGGCTTCTCGTACCGTTACCACACGTCTCACTACAGGCTGACCAGGCTCCCCAAGACATCGGTACTCCATTAACTAATTTGATGAGAAACACAGAAACAGTTTAGTTGTGCATCATTGTAGATAGGAGTATACGGTGGCAGAGTTACCTATTTTTAACATATTCGATACCTGGTCGCAGTGAATCGCAAGTTGGTGGGACTGTTGATGAAGTTGCTGGGGGTGCTGTGGAGGAAAAATAAAAGCTAATTCACCTGTTATCATTTGTCAATTATGATTAATTTCTCGATAAATAATCTACTTGAAAATAACACTTTATTTGTGTGGTTTCATGATAGTGCTGTGGACGGAGACACGATCGTCTAAGTTTCAAATGCCACGTCTCCGCCATTGAATCTCATTAGATTGAAGAGGCCACCCAACCACAGTCTCCTTATGGCAGAAACAGACTCTGAAAATAATCTGAGGAAAAATATAGTCTTAAGACGACAGTCGTTGTCGTACAGAGTCTTTTAGAGATTCATCACTTACTGTTCTGACAGCTCCTAATATCAATGCTCATGCAGGGACTATTGCCAAAAAATAAAAATGCAAACTATTTAATGCAGAAAGTCCAGAATCGGGGAATGAAAGAAGATAAATATGCAAAAATCCTGGCCAAGAAGCAGGTCTGTGCGGTATTTCATATGCCAGATATTCGGAAATGGAGACGCCATCTTGGTGTCCCTTCGAAGGGCACAAATATGGCCGACGGAAACCAACAAAAACATCTGTTTTCGAGCTTTCCTATTAATGCGTGAATTCCTCGCTTGAGAAACTCGTGACGATTAAAGTAATTTAGTAGGCTCCATTACTAGCCGCTGTTCGGTAAATGAGACCGCGCCCTCCCCTGAACCGAGGGGAGAGCGGCGGAAATAGAGCCGGATCAATTTAGGTTGGTATCTCTACCTGTCGTTTGGACAGATGATGTTGTAGTATCTGGCGACGCTGTGGTGCTTGGGGGCTTAGTCGTTTCAGAAGGTGACGTTGTGGTTTGTTTTAATGTCGTAGTAGGTGGTGATGTCGCTAAAATGAATAAAAAAAAGCTCGGTTAGTTGGGTATTGATGAGGTTAACCACCAGAAATGGTTTCGAAACGGTTAGGTTCTCATAAAGATTAAAGTAATATTTATACCGAGACAAAGAATGTTCAGATAGCAAAATCTCAAAAAATCGGTAACGTTGTTATAAACCCACATAAGAGCTTTCCCGGCCGCCAGATTAATGCCGCGTCACGCAAAGGACCTGGAAATTAAAGCGTCCTCTTTCGGAAAACAACGAACCCTTTCGATTCGAATATTTGATTGAATTAAGGTGTTTAAATGTTGTAATACGTCATGAAAGTAGAAACTCAGAAGAGTCGATAGTTTCTTAGTCTGAATATTGGTGACATCAGGTGAAAACCGAGAACATAAGCATGGCCGAGGTTTTGAACTAGGAACGAGCAAGAGCAAATCCATCGAGTGGCCAGAGCGGGACGCGAATCCGGGATTAACTCCCCTATATATTGTTTTCGAAACAATAGGTAGTTAAAAATCAACTTACTTGGACACAGGCGAACAAAACAGGCATCTGTATTGATTGTGTCACCTTGGCAAGTGGCTCCACCGTGGGCTGGTGCGGGATTGTTACAGGAACGTGTACGAACCCTTGTACCATAGCCACATGTTTCACTGCAAGAAGACCAATCGCTCCAGGTAGACCAATTGCCGGGAACTAGAGACAATGAAATAACAAGATACAAAAAATAAGATTTCCGTACTTTTTGGATGGATTACAATAACCAAAGTGTCATAAAGACTAGGTGTGAAACAGTTTCTTACGTCCTTAAATATCAACAAACCCTACGTATGATTTCAGCTTCCCATCACAGTCCGACACTGACTTTCGCACGGTTGAACCAAACAAACTCAGGCACGACTTTGGGTTTTTACTTTCTTCACTTTTCATTTGTTCTGATAGAAATACTCTTTTAAGTTATATGACGTTTTCTACTACATATATCATAAAAGCAAGGAAATTAGACTTACTTGGACAATGACGGATAAAACAAGTTTCTGTGCAGATTTCGCCACCATAACAAGCTTCTTCACTGCCAGCTGGAATGGGAGTGGTACACTCACGTTTACGGCTTCTCGTACCGTTACCACACGTCTCACTACAGGCTGACCAGGCTCCCAAGACTTCCATACTCCATTAACAGCTAATTTGATGAGAAACACAGAAACGGTTTAGTTGTGCATCATTTTAGATAGGAGTATACGGTGGCAGAGTTACCTATTTTTAACATATTCGATACCTGGTCGCAGTGAATCGCAAGTTGGTGGGACTGTTGATGAAGTTGCTGGGGGTGCTGTGGAGGAAAAAAATAAAAGCTAATTCACCTGTTATCATTTGTCAATTATGATTAATTTCTCGATAAATAATCTACTTGAAAATAACACTTTATTTGTGTGGTTTCATGATAGTGCTGTGGACGCAGACACGATCGTCTAACTTTCAAATGCCACGTCTCCGCCATTGAATCTCATTACCTTGAAGAGGCCACCCAACCACAGACAGACTCTGAAAATAATCTGAGGAAAAACGTAGTCTTAAGACGACAGTCGTTGTCGTACATAGTCTTATAGAGATTCATCACTTACTGTTCTGACAGCTCCTAATATCAATGCGCATGCATGGACTATTGCCAAAAAATGGTTTTTGTGGATTAAAAACAATCCAACGGGCCTGCACGGGATTGGTAAGGTTGGTGCCAACCACGGCATCTCCGTCACAAAATGGGCCAAAAAAGACCTGCCAAAGAGGGAGCGATACAAAATGAATAACCGTTTTATTTGTGTGGTTAATGACTATGAAACTGTAGGATTACCAAGGCTAAATGTAGTCAGTAACATTCCACACTCATGTATGAACGTACAACGTATATCGTTTAGCGCTTCGTTAATAAATCACCATGTAAATCAAGATAAGTTTTTCTCATTCTTGATTTATTGATTTATTTCGTTTATTTATTTATTTCTTTCCTTACGGTGTTGTCTGTTATTTTATGCCCACGTAGCTTAATTATAATTGAAATATGCACTTTGCACATTTAAATAATAGCGTTTTCCAAACTTTTCCCCTTGAACTGATCATTGGCTTGATGGAAAGTCATTATTTGTTATCGTTGCCTTGTTTTGTGTTTGTTTTATATTTGTTGTTGTTGTTTTTTTGGTTGTTAGAAAAAAAATAGCAACTGAATTACAGCCAGTCGATAAAGTTCAACAAGCCAATTTGAAACGGTGACAAAACTGCTTTTTCTTTTTTTAATAATAATAATTGATTGATTGATATATTTTTTTAAAAAAATTGCCTCTTTTTGTTAACCATGGGAGATCGATCATACCTGACGTTATTTCTCAAGGAAACATAAACAGCTAATACAGGGAAGAGTTTCTGGCTCAATTAAGTTAAACTGTACAGTGCTTGAACCTGTTACTTGTGCGGATGTAGAACTAAAAGAGAGAATGCGACGCTAAAACCGTGTGATTGTGTCGAAAAAACACACACTATAAGGTTCGCTGTGAATTATACTGATACTTAAATAAAGATTGGTTTATTATTATTACAATACCTTTTGACCTCCCTCTCCTTCAATTTGGACAAAACCACGCCTAGTTATGCTTGTCTTCACGTAATACTTGAAGACAGATCTGTGGGTACCAGGCATTCCCTGGACAAACACTTGATCAAATGTGAAGATAGAGCCTAAAAATCAGCGAAGTAATAGAAATCAATTGATAAATAAAATTCTAGAATGAAATAATAATAATATTAATAATAATAATAACATTTTAATAATCTGATGCCTAAATTCTATATTTTATGATAGAAATAGAAAAAGCAGTTAAAATCGCGTTCAATAAGGAAAAGAAATCAGCAATCACTGTTGTCTTTTTCTCTCATTCTTTCATTGATTCATTCATTTGTTCGTTCGTTCGTTCGTTCGTTCGTTCGTTCATTCGTTCTTTCTTTCTTCCTTTCATTCATTTACAACAAACCTACCTGGGAATAGAAATGACATCCTCTGGTCGTTACACCTATGCAAGAGAAATCCTCTGCAAAAATGCTGCTAAAATTTAACAGTTGCATTCTAACATCGATTGTGCGGCGGTCGAGACAAGAAATAATCTTTTAAATTTTGATACCCTTGTAAAACTTTTACTTCTTTATGGTAATGAAATATAGGGACCTGAATTTTTGTCATGCAAATTAACCATTGGTTTATGAGTCAGCGTGCGGTTGTCGCGATATGAAGTACGCGGAAAGTTTGGAGAGCACGAAGGATCGAGAAGGAGACTCACGAGTTACCGAGAGCAACTCTAGCCTCTTGAGTGCTCTCCAAACTTCTCAAGTGCTTCATATTTCGACATACGCACAGATGTTTTATAACATTTTCAATGCGGCAATTAACTTAAAATTTTATTACTATCACTATAGCGTGCGCTCAAAGCAGTGCGCGACAATGTCTAGTTGACTATTTGCTGTTTTTATTTTTTTAATTTTTTTTTAAACTAAGAGAAAGTTTACAGAGGTCGCTTAAGATAACATTCAAAAAGGTTTTAGAATCTATATTGAGTCGGAAAACTTGTAATTCACCGAAAAATTCTTCTTGAACGAAAAAATTGATTGATTTGCGCACGCCATACCTCGCGCGGATGACAACAACGACGTTTGCCTACTATCTGTTAACAAACTCAAACGAAAGTGTTTCTCTTTAGCCAACATTACAAAACACATGGAAAACCGTTCATCTTGTACTGTTAAGTTATGGATGTACTTAGGAGGATTGCTAAGCTCACAAGAACTCGGCGAGGTTTTAGTTTGTTAACGTCATCAGCGTGCTCAAAAGGAATATGAAGCACGCTCGCGCTGTTCAATGACTTTGATCAGGCGAATATTCTAGCTCAGTGTTATAAACACATTTTGATAAAAGTACAATTGAGCTAGCTAAATAAGTTCACGTTAAATTTTGCAAACAAACATTAAACGTCTCATGATATGTGGAAAACTTAGCTTCTAGATCAGAACTTGGCCTATACCCTCTTAACGACACACTAAGACCCCTCATTTTTGTTATTGGTACAGATTGAATCAGTTATAAAACAGATAACCATCTCTAAACTGAAGCTTTTATCTACTTGAATACTCATGAAGCATTACAATTGTACTTTTTGCATGTTATATACTTAGTTTATACACAAACTGTAAAACTGAGTCATTGCTAGTATTCTCACACGCGAATCGTAGCAAAAAAAGTCTCTTTTGCGCGCATTTTTCAAATTATATGTTGAGCTACCCCATACGGTATTGTCTGCACTAGTTTTACCAGTTATGCAAACAGCAAGCAGTTTTTTTGTTCTTTTCTGAGTGTATTTGTAAGCATCACACTTTTTAACTGATGATCCATACCACAACTAGTCACAGCAAGTACATATTTATTTAGGACCACACATAATGCTGATCTATATATCACATCCGCCATTTTCATTTTAAGTGTCTCATCTGCCACAACAGTACAATATTACTTTTACCTTGTCATGCAACAGTAAGATGAACAAGCATTTTTTTTTTTTACCTACGGGTCTACCTCTGCACAATCTAGTTGCAAGGTAAACTCCACAATCAAAGGATAAAAAGTTTTTCAATATAATATGTAATATAAAGCTCTTTACATTTCTACTTGACCTTATACCCTTTCAGAACATTTTAATTAGCTTAATTTTCTTACATATTTGTAATTTCGACGGTTCTCTGTCACGGCGAACGTCTCCAAATTTTATACTAGTAGTTAAGCAGAAATCATTATATATATTTCTTCCAGGGGATGTTTATTTCCTGGTTGACCACATGTTCAGTGGTTAATAATTCGCATCATGATCTCGTCAATTGTACAACCAGTGCTTGGCGTGCTTACAAGACTTGCTTTCTTTCAAGAAATGCTCGTTCAACAGTATTGCTAACATATGTTTGGCAAATATGTAAACTCTCATCCTCATCAACGCTAAAAGCATTAGCATGAGGTCTTCTCATTTTGAGGTCACCTTCCAGCAATGAGCTGGAAGTTATTTACCTCCTGATATACAGCTAATAGTCATTGTAAGCTTTGGGAGATGAAGAGCAATTGCTTATCTCTTCATCCTGTTTAGCGCTTGGACGAGTCAAACGTTCATGAAATTCAGTCTCCAAGTTGACCATAGTGCTAATTTGAAACATTCGAAGTCCACTAATTAAGACGGCTAATCGTCCTGCAAAAACTAAAAAATCAAAACATTGAAGGCTGCGGGCACAATGCACGCTTGATCACAGGGACGTTCTGGAACGATTGAGCTACCGCAATTGTCTACTTGATATCGGGCGCTGTCGTGCGGGCGGACTAATTACGAAAGTGTCTACACCTGAGTGATACATTTGCATATGGCAGTGCCCATAATAACTCGTTCCTACACTACACGTGATCCATAAGTTAAAAAGGTAGAAATCCAGCACATAAAATCAACATTAGGAAGCTACGATTAGGAGTTCACTCCTTACGCTTAGAAACAGGAAGATATCAAGATAAATGTGCATCCATACCAGTAGACAAAGGAAATACTTAGTTTGCAAAATAAACTGTATAGAAGACGAAACGCACTACCTAATACTTTGTAGAGAATATAACGATTCTTAGGCAGCAACTTTATTTTCATATTTCAAAAAATGATGTTTACTTTGCCAGTCTAGCGGAACGTTACCAATTTTCTATCTACTTAAGTTAGATAACGATGACACCTCTCCAATCATAGCAAAATGGCTATCTAATTTTTCAAAACAGGCAAGAGCTCCTGACTCCAAATGCGATTTGTTTTTTAATTATTATCATAATCGTATGTATTGTAATTTTGTTGTTATTGTTGTAGATTTTCGGTTTTGTTTCAATAGTTAAGTTGTTACAGTAATATATATTTAAAACCTTATGGTAACTAGACCGATACCTCCCTTTGGAAAGTAAGGCGCAATAAAGATATACTATACTATACTACACCATACGATACCATACCATACCATACCATACAATAACCATACCATACCATACCATACCATACCATACCATACCATACCATACCATACCATACCATACCATACCATACCATACCATACCATATACTATACGCATTGATTGATTGACTGATTCATTCCCTTATATAATCATTCATTCATTTATCCAGTCAGTCAGTAAGCCAGTCTGTCACTCCTTTTTTCTTCTTCTTTTTCTTTTTAATTATTCCTTTTTTATTTACTACTTTTGCCAAGTCGCTTCATCGGAATAATTTACTTTGAGAATGTGCTTAAGGAACATGATTCTCTGCTTTTTTTACCTTTCCATAAAACGCCTTGTTATATCTCATGGCAGTATTAACCAAAGTTTGGAGAGTGAGGACTACATATCAATCCTTTTGCACTTACCTTAGTTAAGCTATATTGAACACTCCAGAAAATACCATAACATAGCATAATGCTCTTTGTTCTTCACCCCAAAATTTTGCTAAGTATTGTCTTCAGTTTCTCTTGGGAGTTAAAATGGCCGCAAGAGAAACTGAAAACAATGCTTATGCAAAATTTTGGAGCGACAAAGAAAGAGCATTATGGTATGTTATGGTATTTTCTGGAGTGGTCAACTTACCTTAGGCCGTAACGAGCAAATCTGCATTCTTTTCTTTAATATTATTTTTGACGGAAGTTCATCGGGTATAACAGCCTGTACATGCTAGATTTTGACCAACACGAAACCCATGATCGGGGGCTCCTTATGGTCGCACCCATTTACCTACGGAATACTTCTAAATTTAAGCAAGGGCTCTGAAATATTACCTAAATCCACCTTCAGAAACTGTTCACCGTTTATGAATTTGGCACACCAAACATCTTGGCCATGTAGCACAGGATACCCAGGATCAACGGAACTAGAGGATACCGTGAAGGTTACATTTCCATTGTTTTTGAGAAGGGAAGTGCAGACTAATGATCAAGAACAAAAAAGTTAGTATAATTCAAGATTGCATAAGGTGCATACTTAAGATGAGACTAACCGATAAAAATGAAGAATTTTTTAAACAAATAGATAGATGTATGGATCATTAGAATAAGGATTGTGCTAGTGATCTTCACCTCATCTAAGTGATGTTGCGTTCTTTGAAACGTGTGCACTTGGAAAAAATGAGAAATGGCAACGAAACCTAAGATGAATCCTAGGCTTTCATTTCCAATTCTCTGTTTTGTTTTCATTTTCCATTTTTTCGTTCCCCGCGCCCCTGTTCCGCGTTCTAGTAAAATCCTTTGAGAAACAATGAACCACAATATTAAATCATCGACTCAGATTCTGCGAATATATTTTAGAGCCTAATTAACATAATATTGTAACCAACAGCGTTACGTTACGAGTTCTTACAAAAAAGGCACCAGCAATGGCCTTTTTTTGGTATTTTTGTCTTCTTTAGTTTTGTTTATTAGTTTTATCTTATTTGGCAGGAACAAGAAATTTATTATTGTATGCATGACTTGTCATAAAATATTGAAGAGGCCACCCAACCACAGTCTCCTTATGGCAGAAACAGACTCTGAAAATAAAAATGCAAACTATTTAATGCAGAAAGTCCAGAATCGGGGAATGAAAGAAGATAAATATGCAAAAATCCTGGCCAAGAAGCAGGTCTGTGCGGTATTTCATATGCCAGATATTCGGAAATGGAGACGCCATCTTGGTGTCCCTTCGAAGGGCACAAATATGGCCGCCGGAAACCAACAAAAACATCTGTTTTCGAGCTTTCCTACTAATGCGTGAATTCCTCGCTTGAGAAACTCGTGACGATTAAAGTAATTTAGTAGGCTCCATTACTAGCCGCTGTTCGGTAAATGAGACCGCGCCCTCCCCTGAACCGAGGGGAGAGCGGCGGAAATAGAGCCGGATCAATTTAGGTTGGTATCTCTACCTGTCGTTTGGACAGATGATGTTGTAGTATCTGGCGACGCTGTGGTGCTTGGGGGCTTAGTCGTTTCAGAAGGTGACGTTGTGGTTTGTTTTAATGTCGTAGTAGGTGGTGATGTAGCTAAAATGAATAAAAAAAAGCTCGGTTAGTTGGGTATTGGTGAGGTTAACCACCAGAAATGGTTTCGAAACGGTTAGGTTCTCATAAAGATTAAAGTAATATTTATACCGAGACAAAGAATGTTCAGATAGCAAAATCTCAAAAAATCGGTAACGTTGTTATAAACCCACATAAGAGCTTTCCCGGCCGCCAGATTAATGCCGCGTCACGCAAAGGACCTGGAAATTAAAGCGTCCTCTTTCGGAAAACAACAAACCCTTTCGATTCGAATATTTGATTGAATTAAGGTGTTTAAATGTTGTAATATGTCATGAAAGTAGAAACTCAGAAGAGTCGATAGTTTCTTAGTCTGAATATTGGTGACATCAGGTGAAAACCGAGAACACAAGCATGGCCGAGGTTTTGAACTAGGAACGAGCAAGAGCAAATCCATCGAGTGGCCAGAGCGGGACGCGAATCCGGGATTAACTCCCCTATATATTGTTTTCGAAACAATAGGTAGTTAAAAATCAACTTACTTGGACACAGGCGAACAAAACAGGCATCTGTATTGATTGCGTCACCTTGGCAAGTGGCTCCACCGTAGGCTGGTGCGGGATTGTTACAGGAACGTGTACGAACCCTTGTACCATAGCCACATGTTTCACTGCAAGAAGACCAATCGCTCCAGGTAGACCAGTTGCCGGGAACTAGAGACAATGAAATAACAAGATACAAAAAATAAGATTTCCGTACTTTTTGGATGGATTGCAATAACCAAAGTGTCATAATGACTAGGTGTGAAACAGTTTCTTGCGTCCTTAAATATCAACAAACCCTAGGTATGATTTCAGCTTCCCATCACAGTCCAACACTGACTTTCGTAAGGTTGAACCAAACAAACTCGGGCACGACTTTGGGTTTTTACTTTCTTCACTTTTCATTAGTTCTGATAGAAATACTCTTTTAAGTTATATGACGTTTTCTACCACATATATCATAAAAGCAAGGAAATTAGACTTACTTGGACAATGACGAATAAAACAAGTTTCTGTGCAGATTTCGCCACCATAACAAGCTTCTTCACTGCCAGCTGGAATGGGAGTGGTACACTCACGTTTACGGCTTCTCGTACCGTTACCACACGTCTCACTACAGGCTGACCAGGCTCCCCAAGACTTCCATACTCCATTAACAGCTAATTTGATGAGAAACACAGAAACGGTTTAGTTGTGCATCATTTTAGATAGGAGTATACGGTGGCAGAGTTACCTATTTTTAACATATTCGATACCTGGTCGCAGTGAATCGCAAGTTGGTGGGACTGTTGATGAAGTTGCTGGGGGTGCTGTGGAGGAAAAATAAAAGCTAATTCACCTGTTATCATTTGTCAATTATGATTAATTTCTCGATAAATAATCTACTTGAAAATAACACTTTATTTGTGTGGTTTCATGATAGTGCTGTGGACGGAGACACGATCGTCTAAGTTTCAAATGCCACGTCTCCGCCATTGAATCTCATTAGATTGAAGAGGCCATCCAACCACAGTCTCCTTATGGCAGAAACAGACTCTGAAAATAATCTGAGGAAAAATATAGTCTTAAGACGACAGTCGTTGTCGTACATAGTCTTATAGAGATTCATCACTTACTGTTCTGACAGCTCCTAATATCAATGCGCATGCAGGGACTATTGCCAAAAAATGGTTTTTGTGGATTAAAAACAATCCAACGGGCCTGCACGGGACTGGTAAGGTTGGTGCCAACCACGGCATCTCCGTCACAAAATGGGCCAAAAAAGACCTGCCAAAGAGGGAACGATACACAATGAATAACCGTTTTATTTGTGTGTTTAATGACTATGAAACTGTAGGATTACCAAGGCCAAATGTAGTCAGTAACGTTCCACACTCATGTGTGAACGTACAACGTATATCGTTCAGCGCTTCGTTACTAAATCACAATGTAAATCAAGATAAGTTTTTCACATTCTTGATTTATTGATTTATTTCTTTTATTGATTTATTTCTTTCCTTACGGTGTTGTCTGTTATTTTATGCCCACGTAGCTTAATTATAATTGAAATATGCACTTTGCACATTTAAATAATAGCGTTTTCCAAACTTTTCCCCTTGAACTGATCATTGGCTTGATGGAAAGTCATTATTTGTTATCGTTGCCTTGTTTTGTGTTTGTTTTATATTTGTTGTTGTTGTTTTTTTGGTTGTTAGAAAAAAAATAGCAACTGAATTACAGCCAGTCGATAAAGTTCAACAAGCCAATTTGAAACGGTGACAAAACTGCTTTTTCTTTTTTTAATAATAATAATTGATTGATTGATATATTTTTTAAAAAAAATTGCCTCTTTTTGTTAACCATGGGAGATCGATCATACCTGACGTTATTTCTCAAGGAAACATAAACAGCTAATACAGGGAAGAGTTTCTGGCTCAATTAAGTTAAACTGTACAGTGCTTGAACCTGTTACTTGTGCGGATGTAGAACTAAAAGAGAGAATGCGACGCTAAAACCGTGTGATTGTGTCGAAAAAACACACACTATAAGGTTCGCTGTGAATTATACTGATACTTAAATAAAGATTGGTTTATTATTATTACAATACCTTTTGACCTCCCTCTCCTTCAATTTGGACAAAACCACGCCTAGTTATGCTTGTCTTCACGTAATACTTGAAGACAGATCTGTGGGTACCAGGCATTCCCTGGACAAACACTTGATCAAATGTGAAGATAGAGCCTAAAAATCAGCGAAGTAATAGAAATCAATTGATAAATAAAATTCTAGAATGAAATAATAATAATATTAATGATAATAATAACATTTTAATAATCTGATGCCTAAATTCTATATTTTATGATAGAAATAGAAAAAGCAGTTAAAATCGCGTTCAATAAGGAAAAGAAATCAGCAATCACTGTTGTCTTTTTCTCTCATTCTTTCATTGATTCATTCATTTGTTCGTTCGTTCGTTCGTTCGTTCGTTCGTTCATTCGTTCTTTCTTTCTTCCTTTCATTCATTTACAACAAACCTACCTGGGAATAGAAATGACATCCTCTGGTCGTTACACCTATGCAAGAGAAATCCTCTGCAAAAATGCTGCTAAAATTTAACAGTTGCATTCTAACATCGATTGTGCGGCGGTCGAGACAAGAAATAATCTTTTAAATTTTGATACCCTTGTAAAACTTTTACTTCTTTATGGTAATGAAATATAGGGACCTGAATTTTTGTCATGCAAATTAACCATTGGTTCATGAGTCAGCGTGCGGTTGTCGCGATATGAAGTACGCGGAAAGTTTGGAGAGCACGAAGGATCGAGAAGGAGACTCACGAGTTACCGAGAGCAACTCTAGCCTCTTGAGTGCTCTCCAAACTTCTCAAGTGCTTCATATTTCGACATACGCACAGATGTTTTATAACATTTTCAATGCGGCAATTAACTTAAAATTTTATTACTATCACTATAGCGTGCGCTCAAAGCAGTGCGCGACAATGTCTAGTTGACTATTTGCTGTTTTTATTTTTTTAATTTTTTTTTAAACTAAGAGAAAGTTTACAGAGGTCGCTTAAGATAACATTCAAAAAGGTTTTAGAATCTATATTGAGTCGGAAAACTTGTAATTCACCGAAAAATTCTTCTTGAACGAAAAAATTGATTGATTTGCGCACGCCATACCTCGCGCGGATGACAACAACGACGTTTGCCTACTATCTGTTAACAAACTCAAACGAAAGTGTTTCTCTTTAGCCAGCATTACAAAACACATGGAAAACCGTTCATCTTGTACTGTTAAGTTATGGATGTACTTAGGAGGATTGCTAAGCTCACAAGAACTCGGCGAGGTTTTAGTTTGTTAACGTCATCAGCGTGCTCAAAAGGAATATGAAGCACGCCCGCGCTGTTCAATGACTTTGATCAGGCGAATATTCTAGCTCAGTGTTATAAACACATTTTGATAAAAGTACAATTGAGCTAGCTAAATAAGTTCACATTAAATTTTGCAAACAAACATTAAACATCTCATGGTATGTGGAAAACTTAGCTTCTAGATCAGAACTTGGATTATACCCTCTCTCTACCGACACATTAAGACCTCTCTTTTTTGTTATTGGTACAGATTGAATCAGTTATAAGACAGATAGCCATCTTTTAACTGAAGCTTTTATCTACTTAAATATTCATGAAGCATTACAATTGTACTTTTTGCATGTTATACACTTAGTTTATACACAAACTGTAAAACTGAGTCATTGCTAGCATTCTCATACGCGAATCATAGCAAAAACAAGTCTCTTTTGCGCCCATTTTTCAAATTATATGTTGAGCTACCCCATACGGTATTGTCTGCACTAGTTTTACCAGTTATGCAAACAGCAAGCAGTTTTTTTGTTCTTTTCTGAGTGTATTTGTAAGCATCACACTTTTTAACTGATGATCCATACCACAACTAGTCACAGCAAGTACATATTTATTTAGGACCACACATAATGCTGATCTATATATCACATCCGCCATTTTCATTTTAAGTGTCTCATCTGCCACAACAGTACAATATTACTTTTACCTTGTCATGCAACAGTAAGATGAACAAGCATTTTTTTTTTTATTTTTACCTACGGGTCTACTTCTGCACAATCTAGTTGCAAGGTAAACTCCACAATCAAAGGATAAAAAGTTTTTCAATATAATATGTAATATAAAGCTCATTGCATTTCTACTTGACTTTATACACTTTCAGAACATTTTAATTAGCTTAATTTTCTTACATATTTGTAAGTTCGACAGTTCTCTGGCACGGCGGACGTCTCCATATTTTATTCTAGTATTTAAGCAGAAATCATTATATATATTTCTTCCAAGGGATGTTTATTTCCTGGTTGACCACGTGCTCAGTGGTTAATAATTCGCATCATGAACTCGTCAATTGTGCAGCCAGTGCTTAGCGTGCTTAAAGACTTTTTTTTCTTTCAAGAAATGCTCGTCCCACAGTATATGTTTGACAAATAAGTAAACTCTCATCCTCATCAACGCTAAAAGCATTAGCATGAGGTCTACTCATTTTGAGGTCACCTTCCAGCAATGAGCTGGAACTTATTTGCCTCCTGATATACAGCTAATACTCGTCGTGAGCTTTGGGAGACGAAGAGCAATTCCTTATCTCTTCATGATGTTTGGCGCTTGGACGAGTCAAACGTTCATGAAATTCAGTCTCCAAGTTGGCCCTAGTGCTAATTTGAAACATTCGAAGTCCACTTGAAGACGGCTAATCGACCTGCAAAAACTACAAAATCAAAACATTGAAGGCTGCGGGCACAATGCACGCTTGATCACAGGGACGTTCTGGAACGATTGAGCTACCGCAATTGTCTACTTGATATCGGGCGCTGTCGTGCGGGCGGACTAATTACGAAAGTGTCTACACCTGAGTGATACATTTGCATATGGCAGTGTCCATAATAACTCGTTCCTACGCTACACGTGATCCACAAGTTAAAAAGGTAGAAATCCAGCACATAAAATCAACATTAGGAAGCTACGATTAGGAGTTCACTCCTTACGCTTAGAAACAGGAAGATATCAAGATAAATGTGCATCCATACCAGTAGACAAAGGAAATACTTAGTTTGCAAAAGAAACTGTATAGAAGACGAAACGCACTACCTAATACTTTGTAGAGAATATAACGATTCTTAGGCAGCAACTTTATTTTCATATCTCAAAAAATGATGTTCACTTTGCCAGTCTAGCGGAACGTGACCAATTTTCTATCTACTTAAGTTAGATAACGATGACACCTCTCCAATCATAGCAAAATGACTATCTAATTTTTCAAAACAGGCAAGAGCTCCTGACTCCAAATGCGATTGTTTATTTAATTATTATCATAATCGTATGTATTGTAATTTTGTTGTTATTGTTGTAGATTTTCGGTTTTGTTTCAATAGTTAAGTTGTTACAGTAATATATATTTAAAACCTTATGGTAACTAGACCGATACCTCCCTTTGGAAAGTAAGGCGCAATAAAGGTATACTATACTATACTATACCATACCATACCAGACTATATACTATACGCATTGATTGATTGATTGATTCATTCACTTATATAATCATTCATTCATTTATCCAGTCAGTCAGTAAGCCAGTCTGTCACTCCTTCTTTCTTCTTCTTCTTCTTTTTAATTATTCCTTTTTTATTTACTACTTTTGCCAAGTCACGTCATCGGAATAATTTACTTTGAGAATGTGCTTAAGGAACATGATTCTCTGCTTTTTTTTTTTACCTTTCCATAAAACGCCTGGTTATACCTCACGCAAGTATAAACCAAAGGTTGGAGATTGAGGGCTACATATCGATCCTTTTGCACTTACCTTAGTTAAGCTATATTGACCACTCCAGAAAATACCATAACATAGCATAATGCTCTTTGTTTTTCACCCCAAAATTTTGCATAAGCATTGTCTTCAGTTTCTCTTGGGAGTTAAAATGGCCGCAAGAGAAACTGAAAACAATGCTTATGCAAAATTTTGGAGCGACAAAGAAAGAGCATTATGGTATTTTATGATATTTTCTGGAGTGGTCAACTTACCTTAGGTCGTAACGAGCAAATCTGCATTCTTTTCGTTAATATTATTTTTGACGGAAGTTCATCGGGTATAACAGCCTGTACATGCTAGATTTTGACCAACACGAAACCCATGATCGGGGGCTCCTTATGGTCGCACCCATTTACCTACGGAATACTTCTAAATTTAAGCAAGGGCTCTGAAATATTACCTAAATCCACTTTCAGAAACTGTTCACCGTTTATGAATTTGGCACACCAAACGTCTTGGCCATGTAGCACAGGATACCCAGGACCAACGGAACTAGAGGATACCGTGAAGGTTACATTTCCATTGTTTTTGAGAAGGGAAGTGCAGACTAATGATCAAGAACAAAAAAGTTAGTATAATTCAAGATTGCATAAGGTGCATACTTAAGATGAGACTAACCGATAAAAATGAAGAATTTTTTAAACAAATAGATAGATGTATGGATCATTAGAATAAGGATTTTACTAGTGATCTTCACCTCATCTAAGTGATGTTGCGTTCTTTGAAACGTGTGCACTTGGAAAAAATGAGAAATGGGAACGAAACCTAAGATGAATCCTAGGCCTTCATTTCCAATTCTCTGTTTTGTTTTCATTTTCCATTTTTTCGTTCCCCGCGCCCCTGTTCCGCGTTCTAGTAAAATCCTTTGAGAAACAATGAACCACAATATTAAATCATCGACTCAGATTCTGCGAATATATTTTAGAGCCTAATTAACATAATATTGTAACCAACAGCGTTACGTTACGAGTTCTTACAAAAAAGGCACCAGCAATGGCCTTTTTTTGGTATTTTTGTCTTCTTTAGTTTTGTTTATTAGTTTTATCTTATTTGGCAGGAACAAGAAATTTATTATTGTATGCATGACTTGTCATAAAATATTCAAAGTTGCTTATATTCACACGATTCTCTGCTAAGTCGGTGCTGAAACAAATATATCAAAGAGAAAAGGCCACAAGTGTCTTTTTTCGATCTTCAAGAACTTTTTTGTCAAAGGAACTTAAGTTGGTCACTCAAAAATACCAAACTCTCGCGGCGGTTACCGCTGACAATAGTTTGGGCCTTTGTGGTTCTTGTCAGATGCGTAATACTAGATAATAATTACGCTTCCTTATAAACCACGACACGTAGAAGATTATTGTTCCTTTTTGGAAAACAGGAAACAAATAAAGGCGACATGCTAAAAACTAACTTCGAAGGGTAATCACCCAAGAGAGTTGTAAAGATTTCGAGTTATTTTATCGAATGGTAGGAAAACACGATGGGTGATAAAAAAATAATGATAATAATAACAATAATTACAAACAGTCTTTTTATTAGTTTTTTCTTTGTACCGGAGCCCAGTTGTTCAAATGGTAAATAACCTATCCACTGGATAAATCTGTTTCGTGTGTATAACGCAATTATCCACTGGATATTAATTTATCCGGTTTTTATCGCTATCTAACGTTTGAACAACTGGACCTGGTACTGTATTTGACTGCTGTAAAACAGAATAAAATATCTTTGTTTAACGAAGAGCGGTAACAGAGCGTCTCTTTGTAACAACGTAACAAGAATGCTTGACAATTATCTAGCTCTTCCATAATACGCTCATTACATTTTCTGAATTTCGTTCGAGTTACAGCGAGTTCAAATTATCAGGAGTCAACTGTAAACCTTGTATTTCTATGAAGCCAAGTTAGAAAACCAAACGTTGCGACGTTAGAATGAAACTTCATTAGTGCTTCAACATAAAAGTGTGCCGAGTGAAGCGAAACTTTTAAGAGCCTGCCACTTAAGATGAAACTTTAAAAACAGTTCAACTCAAAATGTAGAATTGAATTAAGAACATGAACTTTTATCTTAGTCCATTGCCAGGGAAAAAGCTGACCCCATCGGCAAAAAAAGGAAACTGAGTTAATTAGCACACAAATTGATTTATTTGATTAACACTGGTCTACCGTGTATGTCTAATTATCAAATTTCAAAGACAAAATGTTGTACTGAAAGCAGCTGTTACAATCACAAATTAAGCATTTAGACACGAGACGAAACGATAAGCTTTTACGATAAGCTTTTATCTGCATGTAACAAAAGTAAAATCCACGTTATGTCTTCAGTTTCTGCAGATACACTGAAAATTTCGTGTTCGCGGCCAGTTCCGTTTCCCCAAGCGGGAACGAATACAGATAGCTTAATTTTAACAAACCTTACCTGAATAAGTGCTCTCTGCTGCACATAATAAAACTAACAGTACACATTGTAACTGCCATGCCATCGTTGCTGAGAACATTTTGGTATTACTGATACTTCTGTTTCTTTTAGAAAATTTCTGCATCATTATGTTCTTTCCTAACTTTTCGCTCAATCTAATGTGTGGCGGCTTAATGTAATATATCTGTATATGTATTTCTTAAGTTATGGTTTGTAACACGCTTACACTCATTTTGTTCTCCTTAGTGACGTCACAATTGACGTCTTCAGAGCATATCAGGAGTCCGATATTATGAGACTCCTCTCTTGAAAGCGTGCGTAGCAGGGCTTGAAGCACTTGTCTTATGTTATTTTTAAGCAATCCAGAAATTAAAAAGACAACGATGTTCCTCCTGTCAAGGCTTTAAGAGTTTAGTGCTGACTGGACTAACACGGAAGGCGGACATTAATGAAAGCGGACGGTTCAGAAAGCAAAAACTGTTAATTTGACTATTTTTTTTTTCTTCAGTTACAGCTGTACGAATTATTCTTTTTAAACCTACCCGGCGTCTGTTTCTTGTTTGTTTGTTTGTTTTATGTTATTCTGTATCTTTGTGTGAACTCACTGTAGCATCTAGCAATCAAGTCTAACAAGAGGCTTCTTTGAGGCTTTATCGTTCCCGACGTCTCCCCCAACACTCTTAACACCCACCAACCTCAACGCCCCCTCCACCCACCCCCCAACCCCTGTCGATGACAGAAACAAAAGACAACAGCTTTCTTTTTCTTTTCCCGAACTTTGATGCAGTCCCTTAGAATTCAACTCCAAAAAAAATTGTCAACACTTGACAAATTAAACGAGATGGAATAAGCGCGATTAACTTTGAGGCAGCGCAAATTCACTTTTTAAGTGACGTTTTCGTAGCCGTCGCTGTCTTCGTTGCTTATACTCCCTAGTGTTCCAACCACGACGGAAACAAGTATTCCTCTATAATATCCTGTAGTATGTAGTATATCTACAAACCAGGCACCGAAAAGTCGTACAGGTAGCAATTAACACAAGGACTATCTTGAGGAATATTATATTTTTCCCTTCTCTTTTGGGACTACCACTCTTATTTGTGCCGGAAATTCTGAGAATTGTTGTCATCAGGCAATTTCCCCTTTGTAAATCGCAATCAAAGGTTGCGTTTTGTGGGGAAAATAAATCAAATAAACCTGGTTGTTTCATTCAAAATAGGCTTTAAAAATGGAATTCGAAAAAATCCTAAAATTTTCACTCCGAAAAAAGGGACTCATCGTTTCAATGATCTGTGGCTTCCTTTGGTCACAAATCCAAAAGCTCACACCAATGAGCGGTTTTCCTGTGAAAATGTGAGGTCCAGCACGTCTTCCCGGCTCGCATCAGTAGTAGTGAAAAGTTTGTTTCATTTATTTTATTGAATTTACCAGTAAATACTATATACAAATAGATACAAGTGCCATAAGAAGACTGACAAATGTAAATAATAACTTAAATGAAAAAATGAATAACAAAGAATGACTTGAGAATTGGCCAAAGAAGAGAGGGACTTTCGCTCCAATTCTCACTCTCAACTCCCTAGTTTCGGATTATTCGTCTCTTTAGTCGAAGCGAGTCCAAACAGTCTGAGTTTAAGACACCAATCTTAGATTCCCCGCGAAAAACACATCTTTAGTTCAATGGCTGCTGAGCCTTCCGTGTTCATTGGCGTGTAGTACTAATTATGCTTCATTAGGCTCTTAGTTGAGTTTGACTAAATTGGTCGCGGGTCTCTGGTTGTCTATTTAGGGGCACCCAACGAGAAAATAGTTCAAAACCGCTTAAGCATAGCGTTGTTAAATGTATTTTAGTATTTAAACGGTAGATATAGGCACATTTTTATCGCCTAAAAATTTTTCATCTGTTCGGATTTCCTAGTTGAAAGTCTAGTGATCCGAAAATTATAGGGATCAAAACTTACCTTTTCGAACATTTCAGCCAGATAAAGGGCTCCCGAAAATTCTAGGTGACCTGTTTAGGGTAAAAATCCGTTAAAAATGGGCAATTATACCGATTTTTAGATGTTCGAAAATCCTAGGAGAGGTAGGCTAGCAAGAAATTTTACAAAAAAATGTTCCGAAAGTTCTAGATCTCAAATCGTCCTCCGAACAGATGTTTTCCGAAAATTGATGTTGGGTGCCCCTGTCTATTGGTAATCAGTCGGGTCATCACAGGTGAATAATGATTCGAATTCAGCCTTATACATTTGAAGTTCCGAATGGCAATACAATAACCCATCTGCCTTAACGCATAACACATCTTGTGTCCATCCATACGAAAAAAATACTTGCGGGCGGATCCTATACCTTCCTTGCAGCCGCGGGTAAGAAGAACTTCCGGGTGTAGTATAATGAATTAGAATTCCACGTATCTGCACATTTTATCAAAAACCAAAATGCTAATCTCGGCTTTCCGCAAGAATTTATCAGGGTCATACACCACTGCACAGAGGCATCCAATTTTATATTGTAACATAGCTCGCGTGCTGGTTGAATCTAATCCCTAAGATCAAATAGCCTTCAAATACAGCCGTTTCTCTTCGCTCCTAGGCACTAGGTACGTTTCTCAGGAGAGTCTCTAGAGAAAAGTCCCTAGCGACGAAAAAGAGACGGGGCTATTCGCAGGCTAAATGTCACACAAAACCGGACGACTGGCTGTAAATTTTATTTGAGCGGACACCAGTCAACATTTTCGTTCTGTCCACAGGGAACTAACAAGCCATGCGTCAAAATTTTTCTACGGTTTTCGTGATTCCGTGTGAACGAAAATCCTAAACGCACGAATTTTCAGCCGGTCGAAAATTCGTCCAGTTCCGTGTGAACTTAACCTTAAAGCCACCATCATTATATTTAATGTAAACGTAATCCATAAACCCACAATCATTATATTTAATCCCGACATACGCCTATACGTGCGTGTGATAGTACATGTGGTCAGTCGTCTTTATCAACAGCATAAGTTTCTTTCCTTTGCGTTAACAATGCCTTTCGATATTAGACTGAAAAGAAGACAGTCTAGAACTTTCTAAAATTCCTATAATTGAGCTTCTAGTAAGGCACTGAAGAGCAAAGGCGTTTCGAAAACTTACCAGAGCAAGAGCTTTCAGAATTTTTGCGAAAATCATCGAACTGTAGAGCTGACTCAATAAACGCCACAAAATCACAGAAAATGGCCTGTTATCAAAACTCTCAGTTGTAATTATTTCGATGTTGACGATACCCAGTCATACATTCCGTTTAGTCGGTCGTCTCCGTATGTTAATGTGGGTTATCCTTAAAATGTTCGAGGTCGCAAAATGCAAACGATTGAACCCGACCCTTTTACTTTGAGGTAACGAATTCGAAAACTAATGCAAGAATCGAATAGCACAATATTGAGCTCGTGGCAAGTTGCGTTTTTGCGTGGACCATTCAAAGATTTAAAGACCTAATAATATACACGAAAAAATTACTTAATTCTGATTGGCTGAGAAAGGAGTGCAGCTCTTCTGTAACACGAGTGCAAAATGTGTAACACGGGTGCAAACTTGTAACACGAGTGCAAATTACAAATGCTTTCTGATTGGCTGAAAATACAAAAGAAACCAACAAGAACCAATCAGATTAGAGATGCTTTAACAACAAAAATTCAAGAAAATGGCCATGGTTTTCAGCAGACGACAGCGGGATTTAATTTTGTAAGCAAAACAACAATAGAAAAGTTAAAAAAATATTCTAAAAACCCGAACACAGTAAAAAGTACGTCTTTCTGGCTAAATGTATTGAAAATGCGTTGCTAAGAGAAAAATACTGTCGACAAAATCGAGGAAAATGAGCCAGAGAAACTAGAAAACAAGCTACTTATAACAGACTACGCTAAAGTAAAAAAACAAAGAACAAAAACGGTTGCAACCACACACAAACCATGACAGCTACAGAATGAACAAGGATACAATTCCATGATAACAACAGGGATTTCAAGTCATGTACGTAATTTTTTGCTCTCTTTGAGTCTTGTGGAGCGAAGACCTCTATTAAAACATCCATGCGATGGTCTGTGTTTTTTTCTACCTCAGTAGCAAACGAAACCGAAAATTTAAACATCTGGTCCAAACTAAACCAATGGGCGAAAATACCACAACTCACATAATGAAAGTATCCGCAGCTGGTACTTGCCTTAAAGAAAGTGAGAAAAAAGTTTACGAATCATTGTACAAGAAAAACAACAGTCAGGATGCTGAAGAAGCAAAGATTGTATAAGTTCAGAACATATCGTCAGTGTCACAGGTCACAGAGGTATAAATTTCCTTAACGACCGCGATGAAGCCGACTAAGAAGAGCTACGATGACTCTTGCAGTAGGCCAAATATAAAGATAATTAAAACTCCAGCGCTGATAGAAAGCAAATATTATATAATACTGGCAGTTTCCGACATCACAACAATTGTGGCTCCACTCAACCATCGATGGCAGCGTCGAAGGAAAACAAATTGCCTCCTTCATTTTTGGGTTTTAAATCTCAAAAATTTGTCCATGAATCCGGCTATGATGAGGTTCCAGGAACAGACAATGATAAACAGTCGTTAAAAAACCTTAGCAAGTGTCTTTCATCTTTGGCTGCTCGAAGCGTTCTCCTGATTTCAAAACGGCAGTATACTTCTTGAAAACGCTTCTTGTAAACGCCGAGCTCTCATAATCGAGGGTGAATTTAAAAACACTTACTTTTCCTGATTGTTGTAAACCAAGTTATCTTTAACCGGCTGGTGACCATATAAAAAAATCCTTGCACATTTCCAAGTTCTCAGCTGAATGATTTTGAAAGCATTGGTCTTGAAAAAGTTTGAATTTGACAAAGGTAGTAGTCTGTTTCAGCCAATCAGTTGAATGAACTAAAAACGCGCGCGCTGTCAAAATTTGTTGTTGTAGTTTTGTTTTTCGTGTATATCATTGATAAGTAATCACATGATTTTTCTCGTGCAATTTGGAATAAATAAGCACTTGTAAATTTTTCAAAGACCACAAAGTGCACTCGCCCTACGGGCTCGTGCACTTTTGTTGGTC